CTAAAAAGAGCACCTACTTCTGCTACCCACAAATCAGGTAATCAGCTAGACCTTATTTACACACGACACTGCTTCACTGATCAAACAATAGTAACTCCACTACAAATATCTGATCATTTCCTTCTGTCTCTCAACATCCACATTACTCCTGAGCCGCCACACACTCCAACACTGGTTACCTTTCGCAGAAACCTACGATCTCTCTCACCCAATAGACTATCCACCATTGTTTCAGACTCTCTTCCTCCATCTCGCAAACTCACTGCACTTGATTTGAACAGTGCCACTAATACACTCTGCTCCACACTAGCATCATGTCTAGACCGATTATGTCCTCTTGCATCCAGGCCAGCCCGTGCCAGTCCTCCTGCACCCTGGCTCTCGGATGCTCTCCGTGAGCATCGCTCAAAACTTCGGGCTGCGGAGAGAATTTGGCGGAAAACTAAAAATCCTGCACATCTCTTAACATACCAAACTCTTCTGTCCTCTTTCTCAGCTGAGGTTACTTCTGCAAAGCAGACGTATTACCGTCTGAAAATCAACAATGCCACTAATCCTCGCCTACTTTTTAAAACACTTTCCTCCCTCCTCTATCCTCCTCCTCCACCCGCATCCTCCACACTTACTACTGATGACTTTGCTACATTCTTCTGCACCAAAACTGCAAAAATCAGTGCTCAATTTGCTGCACCTACAACAAACACGCAAGATACAACACCAACACCACACACACTCACCTCTTTTTCTCAGCTCTCTGAGTCTGAGGTGTCCAAACTTGTGCTATCTAGCCATGCAACCACCTGTCCACTCGATCCCATTCCCTCTCATCTCTTGCAAGCCATCTCTCCTGCAGTCATACCAACACTGACTCACATAATTAACACATCTCTTGACTCTGGTTTATTCCCCACTACATTTAAGCAGGCTAGGGTAACCCCACTGCTAAAGAAACCCAACCTGGACCATACACTACTTGAAAACTACAGACCAGTATCCCTGCTTCCATTCATGGCCAAGATTCTGGAGAAAGTAGTGTTCAATCAAGTCCTGGACTTTCTTACTCAAAACAATCTCATGGACAACAAGCAATCCGGCTTTAAGAAAGGCCACTCAACTGAGACTGCCCTGCTCTAGGTCGTGGAGGATCTCAGACTGGCTAAAGCAGACTCTAAATCATCAGTCCTCATTTTGCTGGACTTGTCAGCTGCTTTTGACACTGTCAACCACCAGATCCTGCTATCTACGCTTGAGTCACTGGGCGTTGCGGGCACTGTTATACAATGGTTCAGATCTTACCTCTCTGACAGGTCATTCAGGGTGTCTTGGAGGGGAGAGGTGTCCAACCTACAGCATCTAAACACTGGGGTACCTCAAGGCTCTGTTCTTGGGCCACTTCTCTTCTCCATCTACACATCATCTCTAGGACCAGTCATCCAGAGACATGGATTCTCCTACCACTGCTATGCTGATGATACCCAGCTATACCTCTCTTTTCATCCTGATGATCCCTCGGTTCCAGCTCGTATCTCAGCCTGCCTGTTGGATATTTCACATTGGATGAAAGATCATCATCTTCAGCTGAACCTCGCAAAAACGGAAATGCTTGTAGTTTCTGCCAACCCGACTCTACACCATAACTTTTCAATCCAGATGGATGGGGCAACCATTACGGCATCCAAAATGGTGAAAAGCCTTGGAGTAACGATTGATGACCAACTAAACTTCTCTGACCACATTTCTAGAACTGCTCGATCGTGCAGATTTGCACTCTATAACATCAGAAAGATCCGACCCTTCTTATCTGAACATGCAGCTCAACTCCTTGTTCAAGCTCTTGTTCTCTCCAAACTGGATTACTGCAACTCTCTACTAGCTGGGCTTCCAGCTAACTCTATCAAGCCTCTTCAACTGCTCCAGAATGCAGCAGCACGAGTTGTCTTCAATGAACCTAAACGAGCACATGTCACTCCGCTGCTAGTCCGTTTGCACTGGCTGCCAGTTGCTGCTCGCATCAAATTCAAAACTCTGATGTTTGCCTACAAAGTGACTTCTGGCCTAGCACCTTCTTATCTGCACTCACTTCTGCAGATCTATGTGCCCTCCAGAAACTTGCGTTCTGTGAATGAACGTCGCCTCGTGGTTCCATCCCAAAGAGGGAAAAAATCACTTTCGCGAACGCTCACGCTCAATCTGCCCAGTTGGTGGAATGAACTCCCTAACTGCATCAGAACAGCAGAGTCACTCGCTATTTTCAAGAAACGACTAAAAACTCAACTATTTAGTCTCCACTTCACTTCCTAATCTGCAATTGCCTCTTTGAATATCACACTAACTAACTGTACAAAAAAAAAAAAAAAAAAAAAAAAAAAAAAAAAAAACTACTAACACTTCCCTTCTTAGACTTTACAGACCTGAAACTTGCCTTTAGTACTTATTCATTGTTGCTCTTAGTTGTGTAAATTGCTTCCTTGTCCTCATTTGTAAGTCGCTTTGGAAAAAAGCGTCTGCTAAATGACTAAATGTAAATGTAAATGTAAATGTGTTAAGGCATACTGTTAAAGTTTTAAAACAGGATAGCATCATCATAAAACATGTTGGCTTTGTGTTAAACATGTTAGAAATATGCTAGTAGCTAGTTAGAAAAGCATGTTAGTTACAGTGACTGTTAGTTACTGTACATGTTAATTCATGTAAACAACATGCTTAAACTTGGTAATTCATGCTAGCACAACATGTTAGAAGTAAAAACATTATAAACATGCTTAATGTGTACATACATGCTATTAAAGTTCTAAAAGATGCTAGAATTGTCATAAAACACGTTGTCTTTGTGGTCAAACAAGTAAGAAACATGCTAGTAGCTAGTTTGTAGAGCATGTTAGCCACTGTAAATGTTCATTCATGTAAACAACATGCTTAAGTTTGGTAATTCATGCTAGCACAACATGTAAGAAGTAAGAAACATTAGAAACATGCTAAATGTGTCAAAACATGCTATTAAAGTGTTAAAAGATGCTAGCATCATCATAAACATGTTAGCTTTGTGGTCAAACATGTTAGAAACATGCTGGTAACTAGTTAGTAAATAATGTTAGCTGCTGTACATGTTCATTCATGTAAACAACATTCTTAAACTTGGTAATTCACGCTAGCACAACATGTTAAAAGTAGGAAACATTAGAAACATACTATTAAAATGCTAAAACATCACACAAAGCATGTTAGCCTTGTGGTAAAACATGTTAGAAACATGGTAATAGCCAGTTGGTACTCATGGTAGTAAAGCATGTTAGCTACTGTACATGTTCAATCAAGCAAACAGCATGCTAAAATTTGATAATTCATGCTAGCACAACAAGTTAGACGTAGGAAACTTTAGAAACATTCTAAATGCTTTAAAACATACTATTAAAGTTCTAAAACAGGTTAGCATCATCATAAAACATGTTAGCTTTGTGGTTAAAACCTGTTAGAAATATGCTAGTTGCTAGTTCAAAAGCATATTAGATACTGTACATGTTCATTTGTGCAAACGACATTTTTAAACTTGGTAATTCACGCTAAAACAACATGTTAGAAGTAGGAAGCATTAGAAACATGCTATTAAAGTGCTAAAACATGCTAGCATCACCATAAAATATGTAAGCTTTGTGGTAAAATATATTGGAAATATTCTAGTAGCTAGTTCGTAAGCATATTAGATACTGTACATGTTTATTTATGCAAACAACATTCTTAAAATTGGTAATTCATTCTAGCACAACATGTTAGAATTAGGAAGCATTAGGAACATGCTATTAAAGTGCTAAAACATACTAGCATCACCATAAAACATGTCAGCTTTGTGGTCAAACATATTGGAAATATGCTAGTAGCTAGTTCGTAAGCATATTAGATACTGTACATGTTTATTTGTGCAAACAACATTCGTAAACTTGGTAATTCACACTAGCACAACATGTTAGAAGTAGGAAATATTAGAAACATGTAATTAAAGCACTAAAACATGCTAGCATCACCATAAAACATGTTAGCCTTATGGTAAAACATGTTAGAAACATGGTAGTAGCTAGTTAGTAAAGCATGTTAGCTACTGTACATGTTCATTTAAGCAAACAACACGCTAAAGTTTGATAATTTATGCTAGCACAACATGTTAGACGTAGGAAACTGTAGAAACATTCTAAATGTGTTAAAACATACTATTAACGTTCTAAAACAGGTTAGCATCATCATAAAACATGTTAGCTTTGTGGTAAAACATATTAGAAATATGCTAGTAGCTAGTTGGTAAAGCACTTTAGCTACTGTACATGTTCGTTCGTGTGATCAACATGCTCAAACTTGGTAATTCATGCTAGCACAACATGTTAGAAATAAAAACATTATAAACATGCTGTTAAAGTTCTAAAAGATGCTAGCATTATCATAAAACATGTTAGCTTTGTGGTCAAACATGTTAAAAACATGCTAGTAGCTAGTTGGTTAGCATGCTAGATACTGTATATGTTTATTTGTGGAAACAACATTCTTAAACTTGGCAATTCACACTAGCACAACATGTTAGAGGTAGGAAATTATTACATGTTATTAAAGTGCTAAAACATGCTAGCATCACTATAAAACATGTTAGCCTTGTGGTAAAACATGTTAAAAACATGGTAGTAGCTAGTCAGTAAAGCATGTTATCTACTGTACATGTTCATTCATGTAAACAACATGCTAAACATGTTAAAACATGTTAGAAAATGTGTTAATTCATTTAATGAAAAGCTTGTTAGTAAGATGCTAGCTACATGGCAAATTTATTTATTTTTTACTGACTGTTTGTGACTTCTCCAAGTAAAACTATAACACTCCAATAAGATGTAGCACTTTCTCATCTATGCAGACTTTTATTTGGGTTAAATTAATCTCTTTTATTGAAGGTGATGGTTTCTAAAATGATCTGTGTTTTAGTATTTTTTCCTTAAAATCTTCTTCTTTTCCTGTCGTTTCAGAAGCTGCTCTTAAGAAGACCTGCTTAAGCGAGGTGAGAAACCATATGTATAAAAATATATAATATATTTATTATAAATGTAAATATTAAAATAAATATGTAAATTATTCATTTGATCATGAAATGTACTGTTACTTCGACAGATCTTCAGAATTATTAAATGTTGAGTAATTGATTAGTGGTTCTTAATGTTAATTAAGGGCCTACTCACACTATGCCATTCGTACCGTGCCCAGGCCCGTTTCCCGGATCGTTTGAGAAGTGCGAGTGCGCTGAATTGGGCTCAAGCACGGTTCACTTGGCCGGCCCTGGCCCGGTTGGAAGAGGTGTGCCTGAGCACGGTTCGCTTGGGCTTTGGCATGGTATGCTTGTGTGCGAGTGCAAAACGCACCAAAGCTCAAAACTCAAAGCGAGACGTGACTTTTAAAGGACTGTTTCATATGGATTTATTATTCATTCTTACTGTTCAGTGGACTCAAACTGCCGTATTTTATTAAATACGAGAACTCTTCACTGCACGACAGCTGCACAACTTCAGCAGACCTCCTCATTCCTGCAGCACGAGAGCTTTATGATTGTTTATGAGCGCCAAAAGTGGCGGATCTGTTCGGCAAAAATCTGACTGCGTGTCCCCGCATCAGGATTGTTTGGCGAAATAATTGACGGCATATCAAACGACTGAAACGATATAACTAGAGAAATCTCCACTGTGCTGCTGAGTGAGAGAGTGATTCTCACTGGACAGCGCAGCAGCGATGACGTAAGCGTGCCGAGGCCCAATATGGTGTGAGTGCGGGCCATCGGGGGAGACGGGAGGGGGGACAAGCGTGCTTTGGCCCGGTTTGAGGCAACTGTACCTAGTGTGAGTACAGCCTAAGGGTGCTTTCATACCTACACTTTTGTTTCGGAACCTGTCTCATTTACCCAGTTAGCGGGGTTCGTTTGGCATATGTGAAACCAGCAATCGCGCTAGGATCCACACCTAATAAATTACTCCGAGATCGCCTGAATGAGTGGTCTCGGCTCAAATGAAACAAACTCTGGAGCGGATCGATTGCAGTAAGAAAGCGATATGATCTAAGCCTGGTTATATCAGTGTTTTATGGATATGTAATAGGAATACGGCTATATGAAGAGAGAATTATGAGTAGGGCGGGAAGTTTCGTGAGTCTCCCGAATGCCCGCAAACGAGTGATGATCTCCCGGTAATCTCGCGTCTCCCTCCCGGTCCTCAAATACGTCGTGCACCCTTCTCACCCCTCCCCACCATGTCTCTCCTCGCTCTTCGGACACGTTGTGCACCTTGTCAAACACCACCAAACCACCACCTCTCCTGACAGCTGAGCTGGACTCTTCGAAATAAACCCTGACACTCTGACCAATGTGAGGAGAGTTTACTCGCACGTAACTTGTTTTAGCTCTTTTGTTCCGATTACAAACTTTGCAGTGTGAAAGCGAACCGCTCCAAGAGCAAAGAGCAACAATGTAACAATTGTAATCTCTGTTTCGGAACAACTGAATCGATTCACAGGTGTGAAAGCACACTAACAGTTTCACATTTTTACAGATGTTTCCCCTGAGCCACAATTAAGTTTCATTTTTGTATTAATTTGACAGATTTTTATTTAAAGCAAAGCTCAATTTATTTTGGTGTTTTGTGGATATACAGTACTGTGCTAAAGTTTTAGGCCAACAATAAATCTCTTCTTTTACTGGTGGTATGCTGATGGTATGGATATTGTTGGAGAGAGGCTGTTTGTTTTGGTTTGAGCTGTATTTCTATCTAGTGTTGTTAGCAATATGGTCTGAATTGATGGATTTGTGAATGTTGAAAAGTACTGATAGCTTTTAATGCATTATGCTACTCCTTTTTGAAAGGACTTAAGTGGTGATAGTTTTCATTTTCGGCATGATAATTGCAGTGAAATCCTATTATTTGGAGAAAAGAAACAGCTGATGAAACGCAGACAGTCATGGAATGGCCTCCACAGAGTCCAGACCTAAATATTATAGAGGCTGTATGAGATCGCCTGGACAGAAAAGAAAGATAGGACACTCTAAACCTAAAGAAGAGCTCTGCAAAGTGCTAAAAGATGCCTGATATTACACAGTGCTTTATTTTAGAAAATGTCAGGACAGTTAGTTCAAAACAGTTTAAGCTTTGTACATTCTGTATGTTATTACTAAAGAGACTGATTGATTATATATTGTGCCAACAATAAAAGTCTAAAGCCAACAAAGCTGGTAAATGCTAAGGACTTTTACAAAGTAATGTATATATCTCATCTGTCTTTATGCTCTGATCAGATGCCGTCGTCCTCGTGTCACTCCAGCTCTGGCCCCGAGAAGAAGATTGGTCACCGGCGGGTCGATGCATCCGGTGAGACCACATACAAAAAGGTGAGTTTAAAGCACAAAATAATGAAGTATCAATACTCAAAAGTGTCTTGTTAATCTCTTTTTTTCAAGTTGCAATATAAGTTTCAGTTTTCAGCTCAAACTACCTCACAGATCATTTATACCAGTGTTTCTCAACTGGTGGGTCGTGACCTAAAAGTGGGTCGCGGGAACATTTTTTTAGTAAGTAGTAGAGTGTTTAGTAAAAAAAAACAACACACGTTTAATTTTTTACTTGTTTTGACTTTTATTTTGAAATGCGTGCATGACAACCCTACTGTTTGACATGTAAAATTTCATTTAATTATAGCAACAAATATGTCGAAGCGCAAGTACGACCCTGAATATGTAAAGTATGGATTTACATATAATGACGACAAAAAAAGCCTCAGTGTGTCATAAGTAGCGAGGTGCTCTCACCAGAGAGCATGAAACCTTATAAAATAAAACGACATTTAGAAACCAGACATGTTTTATTAACAGTTCAGTTCATGGTAACTAAACCTATCCTCACCCTAACCACTGTTTACAGTATTTGTCGTTTTTATTTTGTAATATTTCTATAGTTTGATGCATTTTGCTAAATGACAGCGGTAACATATTGTTTATTTGTAAGTCTTGGTGATTTTCTTATAATTTATCTGTCACTAGTTGTGTATGTTAACGAATAAATACAAATTAATTATAATTCCTAAAATTATATTATAGTTCCTAAAAATTTGGGTCGCGGCTTGATAACCATGTAAAAATGTGGGTCCCATGGCCAAACCAGTTGTGAACCCCTGATTTATACCATGCTCTAAATGTAAATTTTTGAATAAAAGCAAAAACACAGTGGTTTTTATGTGTGTCTTCAAATGCAAATGAGCTGCCAATTCCCGCCTTCTTTTCAGAAGAGGGTGGAGCCCAGTGTTTCCTCTAGGATTTTTTCCTGCCGGCCTTTTTTTACACAGATCTACTAATTACCTGTGGCGTTATTTGATGTCGTGAGCGCATTATTGGAAGTCGAGATCGCATTTATGTAATAGCCTACAGCATGTTAATCTCTTTGCTTGTGCGCCGATTTCCTCTGCTCGTGCACAAAACTTCTGGCACGCCCCCTCAAATATAAGCCGCTTCAAGAGCGCGCAGATCTTCTTGTGCGCTCTCAAATAAACACTGCTGAAATGCGTTTTAGTGCATTTATGTAACGAGTATATCTCCAGCATTTATTAGATTTGCTAGGAATATTTATGAATCTCTCTAATAGACCTACAGAGCGGTATTAATGCGTCCTGAAGTAAAGTGATAGGGCTATACGTCGTGTTTGCTGGCCCTTACGCATCACGGACCTGTCAGTCAGCCAGTCAGCCTGTCAGCACGTAATCTTAACGGGGTAAACAAATAATAGCAGCACTACTACGGTTACAGAGAAGTTCGCACTGTTATAATTCACTCATCTTTTAATACGTTTTGGTGCGATTATTACCCGCTGTTAAAAAAAATTAAATGTTTTGAATGAGAAGCTGTAATGTAGTCATGGCAGGATGAATTTTGTCATGGCGCCCCGCCATGGAAGAATGAATGTAGAGGAAACCATGGAGCCTTTACAGCTTGTGCCTTGGTCACTCTGAAAGCATCAAACAGAACATCTGCATGCGTTTTAAAGTCTTGTCGGTTTAAACTCCTAAAATAGAATCATTTTTCATCCTCTAACAGCAACATTATCCTCTACAGAAAGTAAAATGTAAACAAAAAAAGTAAATAAAATGCTTTTAGACTCTGAATTGTGTTTTCAAACAGACTTCGCTATTAATGTGTATGGTTTTCCGTTATACTATAGTCAAAATTATTCGCCCTCCTGTGAATTTTGTTTTCTTTTTCAAATATTTCCCAAGTGATGTTTATCAGATGCAGGAATTTTTCACAGTATTTCCTACAATATTTTTTCTTCTAGAAAAAATCTTATTTGTTTTATTTTGGCTAGAATAAAAGAAGTTTTTAATTATTTTAAAGCCATTTTAAGATCGTTATTAGTAGCTCCCTTAAGCAATATTTGTTTTCGATAGTCTACAGAACAAACCACTGTTATACAAAGACTTGCCTAATTACCCTAACTTTACACTAATTAACCTAGTAAAGTCTTTAAATGTCACTTTAAGCTGAATACTAGTGTGTTGAAGAATATCTAGTCGAATATTATGTGCTGTCATCATGACAAAGATAAAATAAATTAATTAAAAATAAATTAATAAATAAAAATAAAAAGTAAAAATTAATTAGAGATGAGTTATTAAAACTATTATGTTTGGAAATGTGTTGTAAAAAGGATTCTTTCCGTAAAACAAAATTGTGGGAATAAAATATAGAGGGGGCTAATAATTCTGACTCCTACTGTATGTTCAGTGTTGTTATTGTTATCCAGTGTTTTACATGAGTTTGTGTGTGTCTTCAGACGACCTCATCCGCCCTGAAAGGAGCCATTCAGCTGGGCATCGGCTACACCGTGGGGAACCTAAGCTCCAAACCCGAGCGGGACGTCCTCATGCAGGACTTCTATGTGGTGGAGAGCATTTTCTTTCCCAGGTCTGCTTGAGTCAAACATCCACTCATTATGCGTTAGTGATTAGTGAAAATTCATTAGTAAAATTGATCCACTACCTGACAGAAGTCTTGTCGTGGATCTCAGCTGTAAGAGCAACAAATAATAACTTGACTTCTGGTTGATCATCTGGAAAAGTGGCAGAAGATCGGTTTTTCCCATGAATCATCTGTTGCACTGCATCCTGATCATCACAAATGCTGCAGAAGACCTACTGGAACCCACATGGAGCCAAGATTCACACAGAAATCAGTCAAGTTTGGTGAAGGAATAATCATGGTTTGGGGTTACATTTAGTATGGAGAGATCTGCAGAGTGGATGATCAACATCAACAGCCTGAGGCGTCAAGACATTTGTGCTGCCCATTACATTACAAACCACAGGAGAGGGACAATTCTCCAGCAGGATAGCGCTCCTTCTCATACTTCAGCCTCCACAGCAAAGCTCCTGAAAGCAAAGAAGGTCAAGCTGCTCCAGGATTGGCCAGCCCAGTCATCAGACATGAACATTATTGAGCATGTCTGGAGTAAGATGGAGGCATTGAAGATGAACACAAAGACTCTTGATGAACTCTGGGAGTCCTGCTGAACGCTTTCTTCTTCATTCCAGATGACTTTATTAATCAGTGATTTGAGTCATGTCAGAGATGTATGGATGCAGTCCTCCAAGCTCATGATGGAGTCAGACACAATATTCATTCTGTCTCCTCTGCAGCAGGACTTTATCTTCTATACTGGAGATTATTTCTGTTCAGTGATGAGACTTTAGTCTAAGCAGAGTCAGACCTTACTGTCCTAATGAAATCAGTCAACATCAAGACATGATCAGATTTTATTGTGCTCAAATAAGCAAAATCTAGAGGCCTTTACCTTTCATAGAGACACTTCTGATACCAAATGATTAACTAGAAGTCTAGTTAGTATTAGATGTTTAAAAAACTTGGATAGGCGACTTTTGTCAGGTAGTGTAGTTTTCAATTCAAGAGTAAACTTATTTTTGCCAAAAAAATAGATTCTTTTTGTGCAAAATGGTCGCAATGTGCACATCTGCAATAGTCACATAACTAGATATGCGATTTTGAGTCTGAATTATAGTGGCCAGAATTGTTGCTACAGAATTGTATTCAATTACAGTTTGTGTCTCTGTGTGTGTGTTTGTTTATAACAGTGAAGGCAGTAATCTGACTCCAGCGCATCACTATCCAGACTTCAGGTTTAAAACATACGCTCCGGTGGCCTTTCGCTACTTCAGAGAGCTCTTCGGCATTCGACCGGACGACTACCTGGTGAGAAACGCTCACATCTGAAGAAGATAAGCCTATAGTGATACACATGTTCATACTCAAAAGGGCTTTCAGTGTGGTGTGCATATAAGAATAAGAACTCTTTCATATCAATTTTAAATGCTGAAATTAGTCCACTATGTCCTTTTTGCAATGAAAGAGAAACAATTTTTCATGTCTTTGTGAAATGTGTTAGATTGGGTCCAATGTTTAAGTTACTGCAAATTTTTTTTGCTAGGTGTTGTGAGACTTTCTCGGTTGAAACATTCATGTTCGGTTTTAAATATGTAAGGAGTAAGAGATTTTCTTGTCAATTATTGAACTTTATACTAGGACAAGCAAAAATGGCTGTGTTTGTGAGCAGAAGGAGGAAAATTGAAAATAACAGAACATAATGTAGTAATTGTATTTTCAAGCATGGTACAAGCAAGAGTCTTAACTGATTTTAGTTACTATATACAAATGGATGAATTGGAAACTTTTGAAAATATTTGGTGCTATAATAATGCTTTGTGTTGCGTCGATGAAAACAATGTTGCTTTTACACATATTTGAAATGTATAGTTTTTCTTTGATGAAACTTGAATTAACTACTATATAGTAGGGATGTAACGGTATCAGAATTTCACGGTTCGGTAATACCTCGGTATGAATGTCACGGTACAGTATTTATTGAATCATTTACAGGAAAAAACAAAACTTATGAAAATACTCAAAAAAAGTGCCAAAAGTGTCAATGACATACAAATTAGTCATCTATCTGTAAGCTTTGAAACAGGAACTTCAATTTTAATAACAAAAAATCATTAAACCATGTAAAAAATAAAGTTTCAATTTAGTATTGTTGAAAACTCATCACATTCAACATTTAATCACTCACTCACTTAGATAGAGATGGGTTTATAGGAAAATTATCATATAAATATAATCTGGTAAAAGCTGGTATCTCTGGGTATTTACAATGTCCCCTGCAACAGAAAAAAACCCTCTCATTTGGGACTGAGGTTTCTGGGACAGAGAGATATGACTTGGCCCAGGTTGACAGCAGTGGGTAACGTTGTGCATTGTCTTTCCCCCACTTGAGAGGACAAACCATGAGTGAGATAGAGGTCTCATGTCTGCATCAATCTGAACAGTGTGCTGTGTTTCTGCAGTCCCCATGACTGATTATTAGTCGTATTCCCCAACTTGCAGGCACGTGCACACACAGGGCTCAACCTGTGCAGTGCACATGCCCTTTTTAGTCTTGGATAGAAAGTTCCCTTGCAAAATGATCAAAAGTGCCCCCGCGACGCGACATACCCTCCGACCCCGCTTTACAGTACGCGCGCGACAACACAGCTGATCAGAACGTGCGCGACAACACAGCTGATCAGAACGCGCGCGACAACACAGCTGATCAGAACTCGCGCGACAACACAGCTGATCAGAACTCGCGCGACAACACAGCTGATAAGAACTCGCGCGACAACACCGCTATTCAGTACGCGCGCGACAACACCGCTATTCAGTACGCGCGCGACAACACCGCTATTCAATACGCGCGCAGCGACAACACCCGCTTTAGGATTTTCCAGCTCTTTTTCATCTCCGCTTCTAGCAGCACACTCCATTTCCGCATTACTGGATCTGTAGCGACAACAGACCGCAAGGGATTATGGCCAAGCCTGGGCTGATGGGAATTGTAGTTTTCGCTACCTCCCGTTCGCTTCATTCGCCTGAGCAAATTTTCACAGAAGACCTATAGTTTTACCGAGTCATGCGACTACGGTAATATCGAAAAAAATTAATATTGCGGTATGACGGTATATACAATACCGTTACATCCCTAGTATATAGTAATATTGTGTCTGTTTTAATGTAATAAAGTTTTTGTAAAATCAATCTCTCTTTCTCTCTCTCTCTCTCTGTTTGCAGTATTCTCTGTGTAATGAGCCCCTGATCGAGCTCTCGAACCCCGGCGCCAGTGGCTCCATCTTCTACGTGACTCGAGATGATGAGTTTATCCTGAAGACGGTCATGCATAAAGAGGCTGAGTTTCTGCAGAAGCTGCTGCCTGGATACTACATGGTGCGTTAACGTCTTCATCAACGTCGAAAATAAAATAAATAAGACAAGTGCCTCTTGATTTGATTCGCTGTGTTGCTGTGGTCTCCTAGAATCTGAACCAGAATCCGCGGACGCTCCTGCCCAAGTTCTTCGGCCTGTATTGCGTTCAGTCGGGCGGGAAGAACATCCGCATCGTGGTGATGAATAACGTGCTGCCGCGGGTTTTCCGCATGCACCTCAAGTTTGACCTGAAGGGCTCCACGTACAAGCGCAGAGCCTCTAAGAAGGAGCGAGAGAAGAACAGACCCACGTACAAAGACCTGGACTTCATGCAGGACGTTCAGGACGGGCTCCTGCTGGACGTGGACACCTACAACGCCCTGCTTAAAACCCTGCAGAGGGACTGTCTGGTGAGTCTCACTACACTGCTTTACGGTAGCCGGAATATTCCACACTAGGGATGCACGATATATCGGAGGCCATATCGTTATCTGCCGATAAATGCTATTTTTAAAGTTATCGTTATCGATCCGATGTCTAAATTAGGCCGATATGTTTAAGCCGATAAATTACGTAATTGTTGCCGCGCACACGTGGGCCAAACATGTTCAGACTTGTTCATGGATCTCTCCACACACTGATTATTCCTTCATAGTTTGTCCTTTCTTCACGTGGTATTGCTGTGAGTTAATAACTCAGTAAGTAACCATTATCCTTATCATTGTAGATGTGTTTGATTGAGTGCAATTGTGTATTTTGCTTCAAATCGCCTCAGGAAAAAATATTACATATGAAAGCCTTTCCTGCTCTGTCTCTTTGTTGTGTTAGAGATAGCAGGGAGGTTTACTTACGCCCTATTCACACGGGGCTTCATCGTCAACGCTTGACAGAGGGCGTGTCTGAAGTTGGAGCTGAAACGATCGTCATAGAAGCGTCAGCCAATGAAATTCAGTCAGCAATAGGCCACTGTCTGAGCTGGTGTATTTGCATACAGCGATCTGATTGGCTGACACTTCCGTCGGCGCTTGAAAAGTTGAGCTAGTCCCAACTTCTGCAGCGAGGAACGCTTCTGAAGCGGCGCCGACGGATCCACAATGCAGTTCGGCAACGCCTGACGTCACCCATTCAAAGTGAATGGGAAGCGTTGACCTTGACGCCCCGTGTGAATAGGGCCTTATTACTCCAGGGCCGAATAATATTAGATTCGGGGTGAACTCTTTTAGTTGCAGCCGGGGAATGAACGAGGACCCGTGTAACTTGGTCTCATTGCGAGAAAAGCACTCCTCTTTTCTGTCTCTCCCTCTTCGCTTCACACACACATACACACACCAAACTGACAGCACATGTGACGCCCTTAACAAAAACTTTACAGAAGGTTTTCAATCTAATATAATTGTTTGTTATTAGTAACGCGTTGGTTACCATGTGTTATTGATGTAAGATTGTATTCAGTTTGATCAGAATATTCATATGGATTATAACAAGCGCGAGTAAGAGCTTTCACCGCGCGTGCGCGCATACACACATAGATCTTGAGCCTTCACAGATCAACAGGGGAGAGCCTGGGTGCAGCGGTCACAGAATCCAGCATACGGGCCACACGTTCTGTCTTTATATTCTGCTCTGTGTTTGTCATAAAGTCATCTGAGCTCATTGATCAGGTTTGTATCAAAATCCGAGGGCAAATCTGCGCCCTCACAGCAGCTTATCATAAACTTTTCATCGATCGTTTTCCCCGCGATTGACAGCAAGAACGAACACAGAAGCGTTGATGCTACATGTGTTCAAAAGAAAATTTTTATGTTACATATGCATTACAAAACAGTCAGAAAAAGTGTAAAATTCGGACCACAAGTCCACATATATGGACATCATTTTTCTCTAAAAGTACATCATATCAAAAGATGATACTTAGTTTTTATTCTAATTAGGTTCCAATAAGCCCAAATAGCAAAGAGAAAAAAAAAATGCATGTAAAAAACACCTTAGGCCTTAAGAGGTTAAAGCTTTTACCATGATTTTAAAAAATGAAAGCTGTTTTTAAATGTGTGAGCTATAATAACTAAATCATTATAATTATAAGCTATAATTTTCTTATTCCATTTATTTATTTAGGAGTAATTGACATTATACTGTATCATTGCCGCACTGTATTATGCAGCTCTGATTGTTGCTGTTGTGTTGTGTGTGTTCAGGTGCTGGAGAGCTTTAAGATCATGGACTACAGTCTGCTGCTGGGTGTTCATAATGTGGAGCAGGCGGAGCGGGAGCGTCAGATGGAGGGATCTCAGGGCAGTGATGAGAAGCGGCCGGCGGCTCAGAGAGCGCTTTACTCCACCGCCATGGAGTCCATTCAGGGCGGAGCGGCGTGCGGAGACTCCATCGACACCGACGACACGTACGACACATCTAATACTATACATACAGCGGGGAAAATAAGTAATGGACACGTCATGTTTTTTTTCTGCAGATAATATTTCCAAAGCAGCTGTTGACATGGGATTAAAGCAGATTTTGGTAAAAACTTAAACAATACAAACATAAAAATAAAACAAAGCATCTGAACAATGGGTTCTGTGTAATAATAATGAAATGACAGAAGGAGAAAGTGCTGAACTACTGAAATGTGTTTACTTTATAAGTGTTTTTTGGTGCTGCAGGTTAAAGACGCCTCTCATATGGAGAATGAAGTCTCATGCATTGCTCAGGTGTGAGTTTCTCACAGACTTCAACAGTGTCAAAATTCTGATGGTTCTGTGGGTCTCGTCCATCAGATCTGAGCTTTATTCTATATTCTCTATTGCAGTGGTTCTCAAACTTTTTTCATCAAGTACCACCTCAGAAAAAAATTGTCTCTCCAAGTACCACCAAAATGAGCAGTATTGAAATACAGTAGTGTAGTAGGCCCAGTAAAGCAGCTACAACTTTGCACAGTTAAAAAACGTGGCAGATTACCTCAGAAATATAGGCTATATGTCATATATGGCATATTATATACATAATTTTTGATAAATTTTGAAATGTATGTAGCATGTACGTGACATATTTCATTTCTCCACGTACCACTAGAAGGAAGCCCGCGTACCACTAGTGGTACACGTACCACAGTTTGAGAACCACTGCTCTATTGGATTGAAGTCAGGTGATTGGCTGGGCCATTCTACAGCTTGATTTTCTTTCTCTGAAAGCATCTGGAAAATAAAACTGAAGCACTGGCTAGTTTAGTGTTGGAGGTTTCATGGCTAAATTTGAGATCATTTATCACACATTCCAGCAATGAGAATATTGAGTTTACATCTTGCATTTCGCATTGTTATTTAAAATGTTTTAAACATTTTGCTTTTTTGTTTAATTTGCTGAGAGTTTACTTGTCACAGTTTAATGTTTTTGTTTTCTTTTCATGATTTACGTCTCATATTTATTGCTCATCTCATTATTTTATTTTTCGCTTTCTATCTGAACTCTTGACAGTTTTTACTTTATTGAAATTCTCAGTGTACTTCTCACAATTTTGCCTGTTTTTGTGTGTATTTTTCAAAATCTGCATCTTATAATGTAGTTTTTAAGCTTCTGCTCTGCTTTACAGAAAATTTGAAAGCTAGTTTTGAACTTTGTGAGCTTGAATATCACAGACGGCACAATCTAAAACTAAAGATATACAGCGGTTCGAGAATAAAACTGAAACACTGGCCAGTTTAGTGTTATAGGTTTCATGGCTAAACATGAGATCATTTATCACACATTCCAGCATTTTGCTTTTTTGTTTGATTTGCTGAGAGTTTACATGTCACAGTTTAATTGTTTTTTTTTTTCTTTTTATGATTACGTCTCATATTTATTGCCCATCTTACTATTTATGTTGGCTTGAAAAAGCTAACATACTGTTATGCTACTCTGTCCTTGAAAACAAACGTATCTCCTCCTAGGCCGTTCATGCCACAAGGCCCAAATGTGGTCAAAATGTGCTTTCTGCATTCAAGATTGTTACTATATCTCCTCATGCCTATAACCGTCCAAGGTCGCTCTGGCCGCCCTGGCGACAACGCTGTCTGCCTTCAGCTCCGGCGGCGAGAGCGTCAAAACTCGCTACATTGATCTCGTACTTAAAGGAGCCGTTGCATCATATCAGTTACATTCCTGCATAAGACATGTTTTTAGCGTGAAAATGTTGCGCACTTCTTATCAAATTCATATAACAATGGAAGATCAAGTTGCGTGTGGTGTGGCTTTGCTCTATTTATCCAATATGTGTCCATATGTCTGAAATATCCTGAAGCAGCAGTACTGTTTTGTACTGTCACATCGCGTGAGATTCCCGCTTTTTAAAGATAAATTTATATAACATTAATGAACATCAGTAACTCGCCAGTAACTTATTTAATGTATGTTCCTGTAAGAAAACATTGTAAATAATTGGAAATCCGGCGACCGCAATAATCAAACCCTTGGGAACAACTGTGGTCGGAACCAAAGTCCACAGGTCTGTGTTCTCTGAACTGCTATCAAGCGGTGGACGTCTTTATTCTGATTGCTTGCCACCGAACCGCGTCATAGCTCATTACCATAAAGTTGACTTGATTTCAACTCTCCTCGACGCGCCGCGCTGCTCCTCGCCGCTTATCGTCGCCTATCGCCGCCGGCTCTCATTTAAAATGAATGACTTCCGGCTACTTTGACGCTCTCGCCGCTTTAGGTGTGAACGTACGGTAAGACTTATTGTTTTTTTAATAAAAAATGTTAAATATAAAATTTTTATAATCCGGGCATATAAAAAAATTATACAAGCCCCAAATTTGGCCAAAAGCTGTATTTAGATGCGTTAGATTTTGTTGCTATATCTTTAAGGTTTATCAGACTTATAGTTTTCCAATAAATAATTTTTAAGCATTATTTTTCTTAAAATATGGCAAGCCATTTTTGACTTAAACTCCATATTTTTTACTGATATGGCAAGCCATGATTGCATGTATCACCTTCACACTTATTAAGCATTGTTTTTTCAAAAAACATTTTTTTTTTACATAATGTTCATTCCCTTAGTCCCATTATTAATCAGGGGTCGCCACAACGGAATGAACCGCCAACTTATCCAGCATTTGTTTTACACAGCGAATGCCCTTCCAGCCGCAACCCAACCCCAGGAATACATAATGTTCAAGTCCAGTTTTTGACACTCATAAAGACTGTCATAGAAACATCGGGGTTGATTTAGATCACTCATATTGTCAAGAAGCTTTGATGTATCATCACTAACCTGTCTAATGTCCCCATAGCAACAAAACAGTATAACCTAGCAACCATTTAAAAATAGCAATATCTCTACATCAGAACATCGTAGGGACCTGGGCATTGGCTTGTTTGACTCATGCTAGCAAATGGGACTTCCTGTGTACTATGCATGGTAACAATGATAATGGAAGCCAAGTGCTAATAACTATTAGCTACTTGCTATGAATGATTATCTAAATGCAATAACATATGCTAGAAATGCCTACTAAGTGTTAGCATTTGATCAAACATGTACACGAGCATTGCCATTTAGCAACTGCTTAGCAACCACCTAACAATGCCATAAACGTTTGACTTTCTCAAGCCAACATCAAAGTTTATCAATGAACTTTAGGTTCTAGTTTATTTTTTACTTTCTCTCTGAACTCTTGACAGTTTTTACTTTATTGAAATTCTCAGTCATTTCTCACAATTTTACCTGTTTTTTGGGTGTATTTTTCTGAAATTTGCATTTTATAATGTAGTTTTTAAGCTTCTGTTCTGCTTTAAAAAAAAAAAAAAGAAAGAAAGCTTTGTGAGCTTGATTTTCACCAATGACACAATCTAAAACTAAAGATATACAGCGGTTGGAGAATGAAACTGAAACACTGGCCAGTTTAGTGTTGGAGGTTTCATGGCTAAACTTTGATCACGTTGAACACGTTGATCATTGATCTTCATTCCAGCAGTAGGAGCAGAGTGTGAAGGTTTAATTAGCAGACTACTTGCACAGTTTTGCTTAAAATATTGCAGTGCACACAACATTATGAGTGACAAATCAGAGTGCAGAAGACGACAGAGTGTTTGTGTGCATCTCGCTGCCGCATCTGTGACCAAGACAGCAAGTCTTTGTGATTATCAAGAGCCGTGGTATCTAGAGTAATGTCAGAAAACCACCAAGAAGAAGAACCACATCCAACAGGAGGAACTGTGGAGGAAGCTGTCCGGATGCTAATCCAGATTATATGCAAAAAGCACAACTCACTGCAGAATTAAATGTGCACTTCATCTCTCCTGTCTACACTAAAACTGTTCATCGGGAGCTCCACAGAGTCAATAGACATGGCCGGCTGCTATAGCCAAACCGTTGGTCACTCATGCCATTGCCAAATGTGGGTTTTAATGGTGCCAGCAGCGAAAATCTTGGGATGTGGACAATGTGAAACATGTATTGTTCTCTGATGAGTTCACCTTCACTGTCTTTCTGACATCCGGGAGAGTTACGGTGTGGAGAAGCCCCAAAGAAGCCTCCCACCTAGACTGCTGCATTCATTCTTCATTTTCTTTTCGGCTTAGTTCCTTTATTAATCTAGGGTCGCCACAGCGGAATGAACCGCCAACTTATCCCGCATATGTTTTACACAGCAAATGCCCTTCCAGCTGCAACCCAAAACTGGGAATCAGATTACAGCATGCGCAGAATAAAGCATGGGGGGTGGACTGGTGATGGTTTGGGCTGCAGTATCATGGCAATCCCTAGGCCCAATACTTGTGCTAGATGGCTGCCGGGTCACTGCCAAGGCCTACCCAACCATTCTGGAGGACCATGTGCACCCTATAGTTCAAACAAGGAGGCCCTACACCATGCTAATGAATTATTGAGGTCTAAAATCATGCATTCCGGTTTCATCATCCAACCCCTGTACTAAAACAGTTCATTCGCATTACTGTGAATGGGGAAAAGTGCAACAGTCAGTATGGCCACCACAGCAAAGGAAATCCGGCCTTCCAGTTGAAGTAGCCAATCGTCAGTCTTTACAGCTGTGGGGGAGGGGTCTGTACACATTGGTTGTTGCTAGAAGGGATACAGCTGTGACCTTAGTCCCTTTATTAATCTGGGGTCACCACAGCCGAATGAACCACCAACTATTCCAGCATATGTTTTACACAGCGGATGCCCTTCCAGCTGCAACCCATCACTGGGAAACATCCATACATACTCATTAAAACACATAAAATACAGCCAATTTAGCCAACACGGGGAGAACATGCAAACTCCACACAGAAATGCCAACTGACCCAGCTGGGACTCAAACCAACGACCGTTTTGTAGTGAGGGGTTCGTGCTACCCACTGCGCCACCGTGATGCCCTTAATGAAAATTGTTTATATTATTTTCATGGGAGATCTGAGCGTAGATATGGTCAAATAATACTTTATTCTCTCTCTCTTTTCGTGTGTGTGTGTGTGTGTGTGTGTGTGTGTGTGTGTGTGTGTAGAATGGGGGGCATTCCTGCGGTCAGTGGGAAAGGAGAGCGACTGCTGCTCTTCATCGGCATCATAGACATCCTGCAGTCCTACAGGTGACTCAACATTACACTTAACATTCATTCATTCAATTTTTTTTTCGGCTTAGTCCCTTTATTAATCAGGGGCTGCCACAGCGGAATGAACCGCCAACTTATGCAGCATATTTTTTAATGCAGCTTATGCCCTTCCAGATGCAACCTAATACTGTTCATTCACAATACATTCACACACATACACTACGGACAATTTTAGCTTACTCAATCCCCCTATAGCGCATGTGTTTTGACTTGTGGGGGAAACCGGAGGAAAACCACGCCACGGCGGGGAGAACATGCAAACTCCACTCAGAAGTGTCAACTGACACAACTGGGAATCGATCCAGTGACCTTTTTCCTGTGAGGCAATTGTGCTACCCACTGTGCCACCCTGTGTCACCTTACTTAACATTACTGATTATTATTATTAATTCATTGATTTATTATTCATTTTTTGGCTCGTAGTATCTCTCAAAATTCAGAATAAAATTAGATAGAATTCAGAGTTTTGTCAAGTAACTTTCACAAAAATATTAGCTGCTATTTAAAACCATTATTAAGCTATGCATTAAAACATAGGACATTTTTAACTAACTTAATTTATGCAATTTGCCTGTTTATTTTATTCATGTATTAGTTTAGTAGAAACATAGTCACAGCCATATCCGCTGCAGCCCAAGACCAGTTACTCACTGAAGTTAAGCAGGGCTGAGCCTGGTCAGTACCTGGATGGGAGAACACTAGGGAACACTAGGTTGCTGTTGGAAGTGGTGTTAGTGAGGCCAGCAGGGGGCGCTCAACCTGTGGTCTGCGTGAGTCCTAATGTCCCAGTATAGTGAAGGGGACACTACACTGTCAGTGGGCACCGTCTTTCGGATGAGACGTTTAACGGAGGTCCTGACTCTCTGTGGTCATTAAAAATCCCATGAAAGAGCAGGGATACAACCTCGGTGTCCTGGCCAAAGTCCCTCAATTGGCCCTCACGATCATGGCCTCCCAATCATCCCCATCCACTGAATTGGCTCTATCACAGTCTCTCCACTCCACCAATAGCTGGTGTGTGGTGAGCACACTGGCGCTGTTATCCTGTGGCTGCCGTTGCATCATCCAAGTGGATGCTGCACACTGGTGGTGGTGTGGAGAGACCCCCCTCATGATTGTGAAGCGCTTTGGGTGTATGGCCATACACAATAAATGCGCTACATAAATACACATTACATTGTGAATCTATTTGTGTTTTAGCTAAATAGGATTTTGGTTTAATTGATGTTTTATATGCATTTGTTGCTTATAAGACAGTTTGCATCTTGGTTATTTTATGTTTATGTTATGTCTTGTTTAATTGTACATCATATTTAGTTGCTGACTCATGTTAAAGGCTTTCATATGAAGCGTCTGTGATGACACACACTCAGCTTTATAATCTTCACCAGCGTTGCGCTTATTTTTTATGCTCTTATGTAATATTTCTGGAAGACTGCATTAAGTCAGAGGAGATAAAGCCAGATCTCTCTCAGCAGTGTGTGTTTCTGTGAATCAGTAAGCTGATGTGTGTGTGTGTGTGTGTGTGTGTGTGTGTGTGTGTGTGTGTGTGTGTGTGTGTGTGTGTGTGTGTCTTGTTTTTGCAGACTCATAAAGAAGCTGGAGCACACGTGGAAAGCTCTGGTCCATGATGGGGTGAGAAACACACTCAAATATGGCATTATTATATCATACACTTTTATTACAGCTTAATTTTCACTGAAGACAGCAAGTTTTATTTTTAAAATAGCTCATAAACCTTTAAAAACTGGCATGCTGTGAGCTGATAACACAACAGGACATCAGTTTATCAACTTACTTTTTAAAATAATAATGTTTAACAGCTGAATTTGTGGTTAAAAACTACATTACCCATGATGCTGTGCAAAAAAATCTCACCAATCAGAACAATGTAAATGTAGCTCCGCCCATTCCATTGTAACACATTTATACTTCATTTTTTCATAGATTTTTTGGGGAACACATCACAGGTAAAATAATATACTAAATAAATATATAGATAAAAGTTACTTGCTAATCTGATAATACAACAGGTGTGCGTGCGTGCGCTGCAGATGCTCAGTGACAGTGGATCAGGCGCTTGATAAGGATCTCCTGTGTTTGGTTTCGCTGTGGATCTGAAGCGTTCACTGTAGATACTGAGAGTCTGAAAGAGCATCTCTTTCCACTCAGTTTGCAACTTCTGTTTCTCTCCCTTTTTTTTCCACCCTCCTCTTTTTCTCCTTAAATACCTGCAAATGTTATAATAATTATAGGCTGCAGGGACAATGAAGACCCTATACTGTTGCCCACCTTAAGGGTGCTTTAACACCTACACTTTTGTTTCGGAACGTGTCTCGATTGCCCAGTTAGCGCGGTTCGTTTGGCATATGTGAACAGGGCTCACGCTAAAGTAATCGCTCCGAGATCGCTTGAATACAGTAAGAACTTTACCAATGAGAATCTGATGCATTTGCTGTATTAAGTCACAACGATGAGTCACACACAATGTCGTTACAAAGTTCACGCGCACACACACACAGACAGGCATACCCAGCACGGACACGATATGCAAAGACGCCGCGTCTAGCTTTGCACTATTTTTGCGCGCAAATGTGAAAGGACACAGGTAATCTCCACTGCTGTGTGGATATCTGTTATGTTAATGTACAAAATAAACCTGATTTCACGTCCACAAACCGGAACTGAAGCTTCTTCTTTTATAATTGTTCGGACACAGGGCTGTGCTGATGAAGTGAAGCTGAAGTTAATCTCTGTAATTCATTTCACACATGCTCTCTTTTGAAATATTTTAAACTTGTGAAACTTACTCTTGATCACATTTGATGACGATTGATGATACTAGCGAACTGAACAAACCTTCAATTCCCGGTCGCGTACGTCCTGTCTTGTTGACATGATTATACACGTGACTACCGGAACATGTATGCAGCTGTCAATCAATTCGATGGGCGGGGGGGACCGCACTCCTACGTTTAGTTGCAGTTGGTCTGTAAACTGCTATAATTGCCCCACTGTTTTTATGTTGTTAAATTGAAAAAAAGGACTGGGTGTGTTTATATCACCGCAATATGACCGCCTATACACTATACTTACACACATCTCTGTCCAAACAGACACTTTTTCACCATAGGTGCCCTTCAAATAATGTTTGTTGTATTGTCTCCAATGAAATACAAGTCAATTTAGATATCACTTCTTTCCATACTGTCCCTTTTTTATTTGGGGTTGTAAATGTAGATGTCATATATAGTTTGTCAAGATAAGTTCCGATTATTTGGAACCAATTTTTGCGGCATTTTGTATATGTATGTATGTATGTATGTATGTATATATATATATAATAAAACATACGGATGCAAATGTATCGAAAACCGGAAATGGGTTTAAAAATGATATCACCATTATTAAAAAAAAAATCTATCGCGATATATATTGATATCAAATTATTGTCCAGCCCTAAGTATGCCTTGCCTTGTGAGAATAAATCATGGGGTAATTTTCATTTTTGTGTGAACTAACTCTTTAACCCCTGTGTGCTGTTGGGATGTTTTCATCTGCTCTGGGGTGATTTTAAGTCTTAATTTGGCCAAAACTTTCTCTGTTTCAGCGAATGGAATGTCTCCTGCTGATAAACTTCATTTTGGCACATAATTTGGGAAAATGTTTAGGAAGTTTTCAAAAACTAAGCAGATTGTCATGTATTAATGCTGTGTTTTTTTCTATCCATCAGGACACTGTTTCTGTCCACCGGCCCAACTTCTACGCCGACCGCTTTTTCAGGTTCATGAGCGCCAATGTGTTCAAGAAAAGCACTTGTGAGTCCCAACTGATAAACTTACTCTAAAGTTCACCTTAACAATGTGATTTTAATAATGAACCACAATGAAAAGCTCACAGTTTATTGTGTGATTTGTCTGATTTTCTTCTACCTCTTTGCTGTGAATCAAAGTGTGTAATGTTGTGATTCTCCTCATATCTGCTTGCTTTGGTTTATGGCTTGTAGTGCTTTAATGAAGGCTTTTTTAATCCTTATGGGGAAATTAATAGGAAAAACACACGCTAAGCTGCTATAAAAGTATGCAGACACTAATGCAGGTTATTATAATGTGTGGTAATGCACATCTGCTCTCGTTTATACATCCATAAACACAAGCTGATGATGTTTATACATGGGGATAATTTTTATATAACTCTTACGCAATAATTAGGTCCACACTGAATCTTTATCAAACACACACATCTAATTGGACTTGCATTGTAAACCTTAAAAGTTATATATAGTTAGACATTCAAATTTATTTTTGCTCTACGTTAAAACGATTTATTATTTATTTAAAATGAGCTGAATCAACACAGTTCTTGTGTTTTTTTGAGGATAACTTAATTGTTTTATGTTCAGTCTAGTTAAATTAGTAAAAACAATTATGTTAACTTAATCGACACTGTACTGTACTGCAGGGTAACCATATATTTATATATATGGTCGCGTTAACCGAATATTTTCTGTCATTGACGGATTTTTTTCAGCAGTGATGGAAAAATCTGAAGGTGATCTGCTATTTTGACGGATGAAGGCTGATTTATACTTCTGCGTCAAACACCGGCGTATGCTACGGCGCTGACGCATAGCCCTTCACCGTGGCCATCGCCGTCACTGACGTGCACCTCGCGTAGCGTAGCGTAAGCTCTGTGATTGGTCGGCTCGGTAGCGCTGACGAGTCTGGGCGGGACCAAGAGCCGCGCTAATGGTACGACGCCGCACGAGCGATTGTTTACAAGTGTGGAGTCCCGTGAAGGAGCTCCGGATGGAAAGTTTTGTTTTGTGTTTACCTCATAGTTAAAGTTGTTGCACGTCCGCCGGTTCCTGCCTCAAAATGAGCGAGTTTGAGCCACTTGTACATCCTGGAAGTGTTCAGGAAAAGCAAAAAAGCAGCGAAGAAACTCGACACAGAGGAACATTTACACCTCACTGCCAACTAGCGTTTAGGAAGTGTTAATGCAGACCGACAGAGACAGCGCACAGAAGTATAAATGCACAGCCATGCGCGTTGCCTGCGCCGTGGGTTACGCCGGTCACCTGACGCAGAAGTATAAACCAGGCTTTACGCTGAGGGTGATCTATTGTAATTTGTAGCTAACTGTAATTCCCACTCCTGTCCAGCTGATGGCGCTTACCCTTGTTTTGCCTCCTCTTGGTCACCGCTGCGTACAGTAACAAAAATATCACAGCAGCTGAGTGAGAAGTTTCTTTAAACGGCCAAATAGTTGTGATATTAATAATAAAGGTGAAAAAATAGGAAGTGATGCAGTAGACCAGGGGTGTCCAAACTGGGTTCTGGAGGGCCGGTGCCCTGCTGATTTTAGCTCCAACTTGCTTCAAAACACCTGCAAGGATGTTTCTAGAAAGCCTAGTAAGAGCTTGATTAGCTAGCCCAGGTGTGTCTGATTGGGGTTGGAACTAAACTTTGCAGGACACCGGCCCTCCAGGACCGAGTTTGGACATGCCTGCAGTAGACGATGAAGAACAGACAAAAATACGATCCAACCAAGCGGCAGCTAGCAAGGAGGTCAGGTTCATTGTTTTTATATTGATGTTCTTGTGCACTACAAAATAATTTAACGTTATTCATTTTTAGTATTATTTGTTTTTTTTTCAATCAATTAACGTTTATTATTATTTATTTTGTCCTTTGTTTGATTATTTTTGTTACAGGATATTTATGCTGTTTGCATTTTATTCAAAGGTTAAATGCAGTGCCTACACTTTGTGTTTACATTATAGCCTGCGTTTGCTGTTATACCAGCTCAGATGGTTGTAATACCATGTATCAAGTATGAATGTAATACCAAAAGGTATATGAAGACTGAGTCGCTCCAGCTCCAGGCCGCCGCATCTGGCCCGATTGACGGAGTCTGTGGCAGGCGAGAGTCTAGCCGGAACTGGCCCCGAGTGTATTTAGCTATCTGGGGTGCGTTTGAGTGCGTTGAGAGCACTACCGGACTCAGTGCCCCCTCAGTCTCCCTTGATGCGTTTGATTACACACAGGCAAGCACCCAGTTCAGGTCGACGCAGGAAGAAGATATGAGTTAAGGCAGCTAGGAGTTTTTGCTCATTTGTTAAATAAATTAATTAATAATTTAGCTTATATGCTCGTCGTGCAATATCATTATTCAAATATGATTAAAAAAGCGATCAGAAAGCCTGCAAATTAAATAACGATTAATAATGAGTTATGACGGAAATTTTACAACCCTCTCCGTTAAAATGACGGACAATGAGAAAGTCTAACGCGACCTCTGATATATATATATATATATATATATATATATATATATATATATATATATATATATATATATATATATATACACTCACTGGCCATTTTATTAGGTACAGCTGTCCATCTGCAAGCAAATTACTAGTCAGCCAATTACATGGCAGCAACTCGATGCATTTAGGCATGTAGACATGATCAAGGGGATCTTCTGCAGTTCAAAGCGAGCATCAGAATGGGTAAGAAAGGTGATTTAAGTGACTTTAAACGTGGCATGGTTGTTGGTACTAGACGGGCTGTTCTGAGTATTTCAGAACATGGGTTAAATTAGATTTTTGTGTGAACTAACCCCTTAAGTGCTGTTGCGTTGTTTTCATCCACTCTGGGGTGATTTTAAGGCTTAATTCGGCCACAACCTTCTCTCTGTTTCAGCAAGTGGAATGATGTTTGCTGGCAAATCATATTTTCACATAATTTGGGAAAATGCTTTGGAATTTTTCAAAAACTCAATCCACCCTGGGCAACCTGATTCCCCTTTGGTTATGTTTGTAGCTGTTTTTGCCCCATTGACTTCCAATTTAATGACGTTTTTTGATTGCAAAGCCATATAATCATGCATTCTTGATTGTTGCTGGTTTTTCCTGTTGGGAAGAGGCACAATATGTCATTTTCACTGTTGATTATTAGTTACAGTGCAAAAAAGCTTAGCTTGTGGCTTTTGTATGGAGTGTAGTGTGTGCATGCGTGTGTGTGTGTGTGTGTGTGTGTGTGTGTGTGTGTGTGTGTGTGTGTGTGTGAAAGTATGTGAGAAAATAAAAATAAGCATCTCAGCTCCCAGAACATAGTAAACATAGTAAAAGTATTTCTGCACACACAGTGTAGTCTGCTGTTTTACTCCAGAACTCCATATAAAAGCCAGACACTTTTTTGCACAGGCCTATCTGAAGAGTTAATGCTGCCAGCTGATGATCAACAGTAGAAATGGTCAATTGTTCCTCTTTCCAACAGGAAAAACCAGCAACAATCAAGAATCCATGATTTGTTTTCTGTCTAAGACATTGCAATCAGAAAATGTGATTGTAATGGAAGTCAATGAGGGAAAGACAGACACCAACATAACCAAAGGATAGTCAATTTGAACAGTGCACAAGCATTATTAAGAGCATGATTGAATGTTTCCTCAGCACTGAAGGCGTCTCCAGCTAAGAAGGGCCGCTCAGTTCTGGCGGTGCCCAAATTCAGTGTCCCCGGAGCGGCCTGGTCTGCCAGTCAGCTTCCCTCAGAGCGAGACGAGAACATTTACGACCTGAGAGGAGCTCGCAGCTTCCCTGTGCTGGAGAATGACGGTCAGTGACGTACTCTTATACTGTTTGTCTTCATGTGTGCAGATTTTTAGGTTCGTCACATTAAGTGAAGTTTACTTTTAAACTAATTTCGAGAGGAGCACGTGCTCATGATTGACCCGGCTGGCCCACAATAGCTAATCATGATCCTCCAATCAAAGGATCTCAAGTCACTATGTATATATCCTCATTTCCTTTCTACAACTATCTTCGTCTGGAAGAAACCCCTCTCCTCACCTTCTTCCACCTTTATCCAGAATGGTGGCCCAGTGACTAGCAGTGTTGCCTCACAGCAAGAATACCAATGGCGTTGGGTCCTCGTCGGGCCATCTGGCATTTCTGTGCAAAGTTTGCAAGTTCTTCCTGTGTTCATGTGGGGTTCCCTGGTTTCCTCCCACCATCCAAACGTGCTCTATATTATAGATAAAAGAAGCCTAAATCTTTTTTCTAATGTCTTAAGGCCCCGTTTACACTAATGCGTTTTAGTTTGATACGCTTAAGTTTTCCTACGGTTACGCCACCTGTCCACACCACGCCGGAGTTTTCGAGCGCTGAAAACGGAGTGTTTCGGAAACGCTGGATTAGCCGTTTTCATTCTGAAATGCTGCTGCTCCGTCTCAGTGTGGATGAGGGAAAACGGAGACATCTGAAAACGGAGGCGGGACTGCTGAGATTCGCTACCTGATTGGGGCTTTTGTGTCATTGTGTATCTTTCCCTTATTCGTCAAGCCCCTATCACATGACTATAACACATGGCTTTAACGCTAACAGAAGACAGCAGACCAGCCTTCACTGTAAACAACAACATGGGCACAGAAATGGGAGCGTTGTTTGCACTATTGTCTGTTTTAGGCGCCATTGTGCAGTTATTTGTTATGTTTAGTAACAACTCGACCTCGTCGTCTGTCCACAAAAATACCTCTCTTGCTTTCTTTGCCATCGCGTTCATTGTTCAACCGGCGTTTCTTGACTAACAATAACCAAATGCCGAGCGCGACGCATGCTTTCTGTTTATACTAGAACACGCATGCCCAAAGTGCGCCAATGGTCAAGTGATATACGTTTTTGGTGGCGTAGTGTGGACGGAGATATGTTCAGAAACGCTAGTGTTAACGCGGATCGTTTTTGATCTAAAACGCTGTTTTCAAACTAAAACGCACTAGTGTAAACGGGGCCTTACTCTCAGGAAGTTCACCTTGGCCTCAGCAGCGGGGGAGTTTGAGATCGACCTGAGCTCAATCTCCCCTAGCCCTGATAAAGCGGGGAGGACTTGACCCGAGGATCCCTTGAGCTCAGAGCTCTCTCCTGGGACAGCACGCCAAACAAGCTATCTATTAATCATGAGCTGAAGTGTGAACTCTTGAAATATACCTTTGAGGTCCAAATTATTGGCCCTTCTTTGAAAATATTATGTGATTTATATTAGGAAATAGTTAGTGATTTTGGGGCATCACGGTGGCGCAGTGTGTAGCACAATCGCCTCACAGCAAGAAGGTCGCTGGTTCAAGCCTCGGCTGGGTCTGTTGGCATTTCTATGTGGAGTTTGCATGTTCTCCCCGTGTTGGCGTGGGTTTCTTCCAGGTGCTCCGTTTTCCCCCACAAGTCCAAAGACGTGTGATATAGGTGAATTGGGTGAGCTAAATTATCCCTAGTGTATGTGTCTTAATGAGTGTGTATGGATGTTTCCCAGTGATGGGTTGCAGCAGGAAGGGCATCTGCTGTGTAAAACATATGCTGGATAAGTTGCCGGATCATTCCGCTGTGGCGACCTCCGGATTAATAAAGGGACTAAGCCGAAAAGAGAATGAATGAATGTGATTTTGGATGCAGAAAAACTGAATGCAGAAGTATAAATGCATGGCGTGGCTTACGGCGATTACTCGATGCAGAAGTATTATTCAGCTTTTAGTTTTTTATTTACTTATGTCTAGTTCAGACTGCGTGATTTTAGCCCTGATTTTGGCTCGCCGACAGGTTTTGAGAAATCGCCGACAAATGCCTGAAATCACAGACAAATCGCTGCTCGTGAACGTGAGTGACAATCACACAGTATGAACTATCAAAGACACGATCTGAGAGAATAACCGATGAGTCGCCGATGCCTGCGAGATATTTGGCGTGCTGAATATCTGGAGCTGTCGACGATTCAAATCATGCCGTGTGAATTGAGTTTTGACTGAAAATAACATCAGCGATCGCCTACAGCCAATGAGAGAGCAGCATTCACTTGCGTGTGTGTGTGTGTATACCTGCTGCAGGCCAGCGGGAGGCTGGGGGAGAAGTTAAAAGCACTCTTTTTAGGTTGGAGGAAAAACTAGTGGAGGTTTGACAGGACTCAGGAGCAGCCGTGTCTGTTTGACGTTTCATACAGAGAGAAATTAGTTTATTATCAACTTAAGTTGAGGAGAAATGGCTAATTCCCTTTAAACCCAGGTGAGCAAACATGTACATGTTCTACCCCATTACAGGCTTCTTTCTCATTATGTAGTTAATAACAAAAGATATACGACGTGTTTTTGGCTGTGAGACGTAGTTTGGACGAAGTTGTCGGCGATTCTTCCTATAGTAAAGTCATGCAATGTGAAAGTCCCTGTCGCCGATCCATCTTGCAGTGTAAACAAAGCAGCGACGAAACGCAAGCCCAGATAGTCAAGCAGTGTGAACACATCTGTGACACGACTACTTTGAAAATCGTGCAGTCTGAACTCGGCATTAAGTAACCTTGCTAGTGACATTACCAAAAAGAATCAAAGAAAATTACCTCTTAAAACTGGTATGACTGACGCCCCATTCACACGGGCCGTCAGCGTCAACGCTTCCCATACACTTTGAATGGGTGATGTCAGGCATTGCCGAACAGCATTGTGGATCCATTGGCGCCACTTCAGTGACGTTGCTCGCTGCAGAAATTGGGAATTTCTCAACTTTTCAAGCGCCAATGCATGAGTCAGCCAATCAGATTGTTTTATGCAAAACACCAGTGCAGACAGTAGGCGATTGAGGATTTAATTTAATTGGCTGACGCTGATATGGTGAACGCATCAGCCCCAACTTACGACACGCCTTCTGCCATGCGTTGACGCTGAAACCCCGTGTGAATTGGGCATAAGAAAATAGAATAGTATACATTCAGATAATATGTCATGATAACATTAGCTTAACATTCTTTGCTGGGTAATTCTTTTTTTATTTATTTACATGTAATAAATGTTACAGATAAATAAATAAAAAGTTAAATAAAATAAAAGTTTTTTTTTTCTTGTTTCTTCTCTAAGGTCTGCAGTCCTGCACTCCTCCATCATTTGAAGAAGCAACAACGGCATCTGTGGCCACGACTCTGTCCTCCAACACCTCCATATCCATCCCAGAGCGCTCTCCGTCAGACACCAGTGAACATCCACGATACAGGTCAGCCTTACACACATTACATTTGTTGTTTAACTGATTGTATAATGGATATATGTGACCCTTTACCACAAAACCAGTCATGAGTCTACATTTTTTGGCAAATTTCTTTTAAAATTAGGATAATTCAGTGTGAATGAATGATCTTTCAGTTTATGTATGGTTTGTTAGGATCGGAGTTTGAATTATTTTGGTTTTATTGTTTAAGACGTGAGAAAGACGATGTTGGAGAGAGGATTTCCTGGTTTGAGCTGCATTTCCACCAGTGTTGTTAGCAATATTGCCTGAATTGATGGAAGCCATTATGCCACTCATTCTGGAAAGGACTCCAGTGGTGATAGTTTTCATTTTCAGCATGATAATGATCTGCTAATTGCAGTGAAATCCTATTTGCAGAAAGAAAACAGCTGATGAAACTCAGACAGTCTTGAAATGGCCTCCACAGGGTCCACACCTGAATATTATAGAGGCTGTATGAGATCGCCTGGACAGAAAAAGAAAGATAGGACACTCTAAACCTAAAGAAGAGCTCTGGGATGTGCTATAAGAAACCTGATATTACACAGCTGATTATAAACCCAATAACAATGTTTCTCAGCTCTTTGTAGGTGCAACTGTTTATTGAAAGCCTATGTGCATTTCCCAAAAAGGCACATAAGGGTTGCTAATGAGCAGTTTTCATTTTCAACATGATAATGCTCTGCTAATTGCAGTGAAATCCTATTATTTGGAGAAAAAAAACAGATGATGAAGCACAGGCAGTCATGGAATGGCCTCCACATGGTCCAGACCTGAATATTATAGAGGCTGTATGAGATCAGGGGCCTGTTTCAGTAAGGAGGTTCAAACAAAACGGAGTTTAAACTTGAACTCTGAGTTGATTTACCGAGAGATTAAAAACTGAGTTTTCGGTTTCAGAACAGCTGATCTGAGTTGGGACAATCAACTTTGAGTAGACAACTCAGAGTTAAGCGCGCACACCGTGACTATAAAAAGGCAATATCAATGGAGCGCAGACATTACGAGTGACTATGGCAATATCTTATAAAAGAGATTAACATTTCTTTCTCCAGCTGATCTTGATGTGATCATGCAAAGTAATAGCAAACATGAGCGTATATATTTGAAAAGAAGCAACCATCAGTGAAACAGAGACAGTTAGCGTGGGTAAACAGCTGCTCGAGTTAATGCGTAGTTTCACTTTTTAAGTATTTAAATATTTAAGTATAATAAAATAAGTAATGTAATGTGCGTTTATAATTTTTTTCTAAACTTTTATACACATTTATCTGTTTTAATTGATTTAACAGTGCACTTGTGTGTCTGCCTTTTTTATTGATCAAGTGATAGAGGTTGATATACTGTAATATTTAGAAGGTGAGCAGTACTAAAAATTATTTTTAGAAAGAATAATAATCCCATTAATCTAGTAACAGTGCATGTTGAAGGTCAGTGAATTTAATTTAATTATTAAGGGTGTCACGATCCTCCAAATTCTCGATTCGATTGCATTTTCGATTCTAAAGGCATGATTCGATTCGATTTTCGATTATGAATAATTAATTAAATAATTAATTAATGACCAATTCCAAATGCCCAACACAAGCGAGCTGCGCTCCAGACCAGATCAGCTCTATGACGTATAATGTCTCCGACACCACCTGTAGTCCCATTTAGCAACTTGATAGCAACCGTCTTTTTAAAGAAGCATAACCGATTTAAAAGTTAAAGAGTGTGCTGTAACTGATGTGTTTTATGTCACAGAACAAAACGTGAAAGTATCTTGAGTTGGTGTTAGCCACGGACCTTATTTAAGCGATTTTACTGAAACCCCATTCAAAAAACCCATTGACTTTGGGACCAGGGAACCGGAGTGCTAAAATGCTAACTCGCTTCCGGGTTTTTGCATACAAATTGACGTCATAGTTCCTCCACTCTATAATCGTCATCTCTTGTGGATAAGCAGTCAATATAAAGCATCTACATGCAGACTGAGGCATTCAACTGTACAGCAGCTTATTGGATAAGTTGTTTATTACTGTAGTTGTGTTGTACCACAGCAACCATATAATTACTTCAACAGTTTAATTCAAGTATTTAACTATAGTATGGTTCAAAAACGCTATAGTGTTTACTATACTATTTTTTTTCATGTAAGTAGCTTGGCAGGCAAATGTATTTTAGCTCAATATAAAGTGAAGTTTATTCATAAACTAATTTCGAGAGGATCACGTGCTTATGATTTATCACGGCCGGTCTCGCATTTGCTAATCTTTCAATCATATGAGCCCTAAGCTACTATAAATAGCCTCAGTTTTCAGTCCACTTTATCTTCGTTTGGAAGAAACCCCCCTCCTCCCCTATTCTCCTTCTTTACCTGTGATTGGGCGCCACGGCGGCCCAGTGGTTAGCACTGTGAGCCCCACAGCAAGAACACTGCCAGCCCTGGTTCCACAGGACCGGTGGGTGTTTCTGTGAGGAGTTTGTATGTTCTCCCCGTGTCCGCGTGGGTTTTCCCCGGGTTCTCCGGTTTCCTCCCACCATCCAAAGACATTCAACATACATAACAACCAAGCTTTGTCTAATCCCTTGTGTACCCTTAGCTACAGCAGCAGGGGAGTTCTGAGATCCACCGACCTCAGGCTCCCCTCTTGCTCTGCCAACGAGAGGAAGCCCCGGGCTCGAGGAGCCCTTGAGCTCGGGGCTCTCTCCCGGGACAGCATGCCAAACAAGCTTTTATAAATCATCAGCTAAGTGTGAACTCTTGAAATGGGGTTATTTTCTATGTATCTCTTTAAAAATTGATGTTTAATGTTTAAAAACTTACTGCTGCACTCAAAAAAGTTTCAGATTGGTTATATCGTTCATGTCTTACCCTCAATGTAAGTAAAACTTTGGGAATGTTTTTTTCAATTAAGAAAAATGAGGAGCATTGCTCAGATATTTCAGTTAATGGAGAAGTAATAAATATTGTTGATCTTTTTAAATATTTAGGTATAATTATTGACTCCAATTTAAATTTTAAAAAACACATTAAGAAGGTTTCCAAAAGTGCTAGAGCAAGCCTGAGGATCTGTAGAAACATTAGGCATCAGTTATCTGTGGCTGCTGCTAAACTTTTTATGAATACAATGATTTTACCTCATTTATCTTATTGTGCTACAAGCTGGTCGCATACGAACATTACAACATTAAAACCATTGTCTGTTATATATAAACAAACTGTAAAAATTTTAGCTAAAAAGCCAAGGAGCTATCATCATTGCAATTGTATTGCACAACAAAAATTACTAACATTTGACCCAGGGCTCAACAATAAGGACTGCCCGATGGCCCAGGGCCAGCATGAGAGACGCTTGGAACAGTAGACCGGATCATTACTGGCCCGAATAGGACAGTGCTGCCTAATCACTACAATTTAAATTTGTCCACTACTATTTGTTTATTGCAAGGCAAGGCAAGTTTATTTATATAGCACATTTCATACACAATGGCAATTCAAAGTGCTTTACATAAATAAGAATAAAAGAAACAAGTAAAATAAAAATAAAAACAAATAATAAAAATGCGTAAAAACAAAACAAAACATAAAAACAGGTAAAATGTGATATAAAAGAATGAAGAAGAAGAGAAAAACATGATAGTGCAATCTGTCGGACGCAGCACAGTGCTCATTCAGTAAAGGCAAGCCAAGGCAAGTTTATTTATATAGCACATTTCATACACAATGGCAATTCAAAGTGCTTTACATAAACAAGAATAAAAGAAACAAGTAAAATAAAAATAAAAACAAATAATCAAAATAAAACATAAAAACAGGTAAAATGTGATATAAAAGAATGAAGAAGAAGAGAAAAACATGATAGTGCAATCTGTCGGACGCAGCACAGTACTCATTCAGTAAAGGCACAGCTAAACAGAAGTGTTTTCAGTCTTGATTTGAATGTGCCTAATGTTGGAGCACATCTGATCATTTCTGGAAGCTGATTCCAGCAGCGAGGGGCATAGTGGCTAAAAGCCAATTCACCCTGCTTTGACTGAACTCTTGGAACTTCTAGTTTATATGATCCTAAAGATCTGAGTGATCTGTTAGGTTTGTATTCAGTGAGCATATCTGTAATGTATTTAGGTCCTAGGCCAGGGGTCGGCAACCCAACATGTTAAAAGAGCCATATTGGACCAAAAAAAACAAAAAACAAATATGTCTGGAGCCGCAAAAAATGTAAAGCCTTATATAAGCCTTATAATGAAGGAAACACATGCTGTATGTATCTATATTAGCTATATTAGCCTACTAAAAAATGAGTAAGTTGGCTATAAATACATAATGAGCCTTCATGATTAAATAGCCACTGAAATAAAATGGTTGGTGTTTATTTCGTTGTCATGTAAACACTTCAGCACAGCCTCTGGTCTTTCAGTGGTATTAATTTGATAATTTGTTCTTGCAGCCCATCAGAGTTCACATACCTGCATAAAAGCGTGTTGAATATCGGTCAAATCACAGGAAATTTAGTATGCTGGCACTGAATTAATGTCCTTGGTTTGCTGATCGTTGATGTTACCTGCCATTTTAATAGCCCTTTCCTTCACTGTCTTTGCGGAGAGAGGTGTATCTTAAATTTTTTGTATTATCTTGATTTTGAATTCTGCAAATAGGTGTTCTAATATGTTGAATGACTCCATGTAGTCACCATCTGTGTACGGTTTTCCATGCTTTATTATCTTCCGGTTTGTTTACAACAGCCACCTGCTTGGCATCCCGCCCTGCTGATAGAAACGTGTGTCGCAGGCTTTGACGCAAATCTTCGTTGGCAGAAATATTGAAATTAAATATTAATTCTACACACTTTTACAGCCTTTGAAAACGTTAAAAATGTTTGTCCTCCTATAGAAATCATATTAAAACTGAAAAAATATATTAAACTCCCCCATCTTTTTCTATTTTCAAACATTTTTGAAAAAGCTCCAGGGAGCCTCAAGGGCAACGCTAAAGAGCCGCATGCGGCTCTAGAGCCGCGGGTTGCTGACCCCTGACCTAGGCCATTTAGTGATTTATAGACCAGTAATAATACTTTAAAATCTATTCTGAATGTAACTGGCAGCCAGTGAAAAGACCTGAGGAAAGGTGTGATGTGCTCTGATTTTCTGGTTCTGGTTAGAATTCTGGCTGCAGCGTTCTGGATGAGCTGCAACTGTCTGACTGTCTTTTTAGGAAGACCAGTGAGGAGTCCATTACAGTAATCCACCCTGCTGCTGATAAAAGCATGAACAAGTTTTTCTAAATCTTCACTAGAAACAAAGCATCTGATTCTTGCTATGTTTTTGAGATGATAGTATGCTGATTTACTGACTGCTTTGACATGACTGTTGAAACTCAGATCTGACTCCAGAGTCACACCAAGATTCTTGACCTTATTTTTTGTCGTTTGACCTTTAGTGCCAAGGTACGCATTTACCTTGAGAACCTCATCTTTGTTTCCAAACACAATCATTTCAGTTTTCTCTTTGTTTAACTGAAGAAAGTTTTGGCACATCCAATTGCTCATTTCATCAATGCATTGGCAGAGGGTGTCAATGGGGCTGTAGTCATTAGGCAGTAAGGCTAGGTAGATCTGAGTGTCATCAGCATAGCTGTGGTAGGAGATTTGGTTCTTTCTCATTATTTGGCTCAGAGGGAGCATGTAAAGGTTGAACAGGAGAGGTGCCAGAATCGAGCCTCGTGGGACTCCACACGTCATGGGTGTCCACCTCGACCTATGGTCACCTTTTAATTGTGTACATTTTAAGTTTGTGCTTTTAAGTCTTTAAATGCTATCTTTTCTGTGAGGTCGTAAACACCATATTTGTTTTCAGCTCCTCTTATCTGATTTGATGTTTTGAGCATGCTATTTTTTCTGTAACCTGGTCACAACTAGTACAGCGAAGAAACGGCAACATTAAATTATAAGACTTGAAGAAAATGTCTGTTTCTAACGTCTTGGAAGCAGACATTTACATGGGAACAACATGACAAAAAAATAAGTGATGTTTTGCACAATTTGCCGTCAGTTTGACAAGTCAACCACCACATTTTACTTGTTTGCATAACATAATTTTGCTCATTATACATTTGTTAACATTTTTTAAGTATTGAAATTCTAGATTTACAGACATTATTTTTAACACCTTCTTTAAAATGTGTGCCTAAAAATGAGCTATTAACTTCTCTCTTTTTTTTTTTTGGTGGGGCCAGTGAAAATTTTGGCAGGGCAAGTAAAAAAAAACCACTGGCCTGATCCGACCAATAAAAAGAATCTTTAGCGTTGAACCCTGTGACCGTTTCTTATTTTATGCTGATGTGTGTTTAATGTATAAAATATTTCATGATCTTGCACCACCACCCCTCAAACAATGTGTGATCGTCGGCCAGGACAATATAAGACAGACTAGGTCATCTGTTAGAGGTGATTGTTCAGTTAAACTTAAAGGGCCATGAATCCCCCTCGTTTGAGCAGAGTGTTTTCACACCTCTACTTTGGAAAAAGTCAGAAAAGTGGGCGTGTCCAGCTCTGTTTAGGGGGGAGTGTCGGAGGAACTAAAGTGGGATGGTGTGGGAGTGTCTATTTGTGCACGCGCGAGTTTCAGAGTCAAAATACACACACACACAGACAGGAGAAGTGTTTAACCTACATGGACATCTGTAGTCGAATTATTTGCCAAATTATTAAATGTTGGACTTTAACTGCAGTTTGGCTCTTTCATTCAGGGAATTCATTCATGACTCTCGCGACAAACGAGATATTTGATTCGAGGAACTGCTGCAAGCGTGTATTTTTCATGCAATGTTTGATACCGCACGGCGAATGAGAGAAAAAAAAAACTCTGCATTTCCCGGAAACTTAGATACACACGGCAGGTAGCGTCAGAAAGCCGAATGTGTTATTCCGGTCACAAAATGCGGTGCTAACATTTCTCCACTCAGTGCAATAGTTAACTTAAGTCGATACGAACAAACTGAATAAGCAAAGAGCACTGGTCGCTCACTTACCAAATCTGTAGAGACAGGACAATCACCAGCAACTAGAGCCGCGTCTTTATGGAGAGAATACTACAAGCGAATCCGGATCTCAGCGTTTGCAGATGAGAACAGCTCTCAGGTAAACAATAATCCTCCTTAGACACGTAAGTTATTGTTGTCGAGCGTCGCGTACACTGTTAATCCAGACGTGATCCAGATAAGCTCTCACAGAGAGAAAATGAAAACGAAACTTAACGGCAGCAAACTATAAAAGCAACACTTCACGCTTGTTTTGCCAACACAACGTCGCGTCTTTGTGGTGTAAACACGGTGACACAAATGAATATTAATGAAGTTGCACAATAGAGCGCGCTGATTGGTTTGAACCAAGCCTTACTCATGCATTAATGCATCTCACTGTAAGACGTAATAAGACTCACTCTGGCACAGACGTCCAGTCTGCACGCTGGAATATACGCTATTATGTCATGACCGTGACGCAGCTTCAAAAATTCGTTTCAAACAGGAAGTACGAATTTGCTTGAAATAACGCAAAAACAACCAATTTACACTTTTTAGTGAAATATAGGTGTCCAAATAGTGTTTTCAGCAGTGTGGGACACATATACGACTGTCAACAGCTCAAAAAATGTGTTTTGGTGTTTCGTGACCCTTTAAGTGAACTGCTTTTGCACAATCAGTATTTTCAGTTAAAGCAGCAGAAAGATGGAATAAAATACCAGTGTATATCAGAGAGAGCAGCACTTTTAATAATTTTAAGACTGTTCTTAAAATTTGGCTAAAACAAGATCAAATATGCAGCCACTGATTTGATTTCATTTTATTGACAATGATGTGTTGTATTTAATGTACTGTAAGTGTGTATTGTATTTGTTACAACTGTTAAATTTGTTACTTCCTGCCCAGGGACTACAGATGTAAATTAGCTTTATAGCTAACTCTGGCACAACATGTCATGTTGTACATTGTCCCTGTATAAATAAATAAAGTAAATAAATAAATGCATTCTAATGGTGTTCATAGTAGGCCAGGCAAGTTTATTTCTATAGCACATTTCATACACAATTGTAATTCAAAGTGGTTTACATAAACAGGAATAAAAGAGACAAGAAAATAAAAAGGATTAAGAGAATTAAAAGTGATAAAAACAGATTAAATGTGTTAAACAGGTTATACGTTTTATAATAAAACTTTATAATATATCAATTATGCATAATAACACTTCTTTGTTACATCAGAAATTGCTTGTTGTCTTGTGCATTGATGCATTGTACTTTCTATTAATGTAATAATGATTGGATGCTGGATTATTATGCAGTGCATTACAAGGCATAATTAATGCATTATTAAAAGGACGTTAAGTAAAGTGTCACCAAAACACTTGACCTCATGCACATTAATGTGTGTGTGTGTGTGTCTGTGTGTGCGTGCGTGTGTGCGTGTGTGTTTGCATTCACAGAAGACACACACTATCTCTGAAAGACGCTGAAGGAAGGTGAGTCTCATTTTTATACAATCATTTTGTTGATTTTGTTATTAAACCTAGATCATGTTGCTAAAAATATGTGCTCATTTGTTTTCCAAATAAAGTTAAGGACAAAATTATTCGCCATTATTATCAAATATTCCCCAAATGCTGTTGTTTAACAGAGCAGGAACATTTTTCACAGTATTTCCCATTATATTTTTCTTCGGGGGAAGTCAGTTATAGTTATTAAATACTGGCTTACTACCTGCCAATTCTTAAGATGTTAATTGTTTATTGGTACTGTCGGCGGGGGAGGTGATGACGGAGCTCCCGCTGGCAGGCTGGGAGTCGGAGTCCGCATAAGCTGAGGCATCGCCAAAGACGCGCTATCTTTGTGAATAAACTGCCGATTCGAGTTTACGAACAACTACATTCTCTCCTGAAAAACTGTTAAAACTTTATTTTGTGACACAGTTAAGGAGTATTTTTAAAACCGTGCGGGTTTTTTCCTCCGCCATTAGCTTTCACTGGTCACGCTGCAATGCATTCTGGGATACATGCGCTTCGCAAGTTCACACAAGTCACCTCTCTATGCATCCTTGGCCAAAGGGGCAGAGCAAGTACACATCCGGGAATTTTATCTGTACTTGGCAAGATGTGAACAATGGCTGTTTCTCAATTCCAAGAACGCAGAGAACGGACTTGCGTTCTTGTGGAGACCGATCTTGCCAGGTGTCCTCGGAAGAACGAACTCACGAGACCGCGAGGGCAGAGAACGCGTCCTTTGAGAAATGGGATGCTGCGTTCTTCCTGATGGTCATGTGACCTTCACGCGTTTTAAATGGAAATTATTTAAACATGACAGCACTCATACAGCTATTTATTGTTTCCCCCCTCTTCAAAATATATACTTTGCATAAAACATTATAAATATACTCTGCACAATATAAATAAAACAAATTTTAATACGATTTTCAACAAACAAACAACCCTTAATGTGTTTATTCCTTTATTAAGATGTCAATGGTAATGTTTACTTTCACCGTTTCATTTAGGGAAACTCCTGAGGTAAATAAGTGATATCTCTGAACTTTAATAATAAATCTAAATAAAATGCTGCGCTTCCTACGTCCAGTCGCAATGACTTCTGGGACTTCCAGAGCGAGTTCGGTGCTCAAGTCTGCATCAGTGCGTCCTCGATATCAAGATCACATCCCGGAAGTTTCACACGTCCTCCGTACTTGCGGTCTTGAGTATTGAAACTGAACTTAGGCAGCTGATGATGACGTTGCACGAGGACACAAGACCGCTGAAGAACGCATATTGAGAAAATAGCTGCGTCCCAAATGGCACACTATACACTATGCACTCATGCACTATGTACTTATGCACTTACACACTCAACAGGATAGTATATGTATGTAGTGTCGTCCCAAATGGCACACTAATGTTTTTTTACTAAGCGGAAATTCAAACCGTTTCCCTGATGACGTTTGACGGTTGCCAAATCAGTGAAATAAACAACAGAATTACTGTATCAAATAATACCTGCCGTGAGTATTGCCGCATTCACCATCAGGAGGCGCTATAATCACTCTCGTAGGAGAATTTTGCTTTCACCATCCAAAATAAATAAAGTTATTCAACATGTGCGTCCGATAGCTCCGCCCCTTCCGCTACGTAAGCAAACCTGCGGTCGTTGAGTGCGTGAAGTGTCCATCATTACACACTTAATTTTAGCGGCTGAATGAGTGCATCATCCGGGTAATTAAAGTGCACTTATTATTTTAAGAGTTTTCAGTGTGAACGCACTACTTACACTATTTATACTACAAAATGGTGTAGAATAGTGCATAAGTATGCGATTTGGGATGCAGCTACAGCCTTTAAATTGGAACAGTACTTTGGCGATGGTTGATGACGTTTCACGAAGACACAAGAACGCAAGTGCAGACAAGAACACATATTGAGAAACAGCCCGTGTCTTTCTATTTGGGCTGTCAAATTTGCCTTTTTCCAAGAATTGGATCAAGAATAAGAAATGCTTTGATTAGATTTATATTGAAATTCATGACATTTTTCAAACTGAGGCTGAAAACTGAAATACTGTTAAAAAAAACTGACAGAAGTAATAAATTACTGTAAATATTAGAGAAAACTCATGTAAACCAATACACAGTCAAATCTGTTGGGAGTATAGGACACTATTGACCTCCTCCATCCATGCTGGCACAGAACAACACAGACCTTCCACTGTTTTTAATGTTCGCAGACTGATTTCTAATTGATGATTAGTGTGAAGCAGTGTCAACCTGGTGCTTCAGTGAATTCACACTGATCTTGGTAGTTTCTAATGGTTTGGAATAGATGGTTTCTGTTTGGTAACCATCTAAATCAATGGAGTTTGGACTGCTTGAATGACATCCGTGTTAACTGTTTTGAAAAATGGTGGGGAAAATGTGTCAGCCCAATGAGAAAGGGTTTACACATTTGCAAGACCGGTCCTCTGCTCTGCTGGGATACTGATAATGAAAATGAAGTGGAACCTAGTTTCTTTAACCACGTCTAAGCAAACAAGAAAAACTGTAATAGTTTAATAGTTTGTTAATAGCCTGAATAGTACATTATGATAAAATGTGACCTAAACCAAATTTAAAGCCGCTAAGGTCAATATTAATAGCCCCCTTAGAGAAACGGTAGCTTTTGCTTGTCCACAAAACAATCCACTGCTGTACAATAACCTAATTAACCCAGTTAAGCCTTTAAATGTCACTTTAAGCTGTATAGAAGTGTCTTGAAGAATATCTAGTCTAATATTATTTACTGTCATCATGGCAAAGATAAAGTATATCAGCTATTAGAAATGAGTTATTAAAACTATTATGATTAGAAATGTGCTGAAATAAAAAAAAAATCTCTCTGTTTAACAGTAATTAATATTTCACAGGAAGGATAATAATCTTTTTGCTACTTTTTATTTTTTTATTGTGTTTTTGACAAAAGGTACAGTACATTAAAGGTATTCAATTACAAAGGTATTTTCGTTTTTTCTTTTTTTTTTTTTTTGTTGAACCATACATAAATTTGAAAAAGAAACAAATTAACACAATGAAAACTTTTATGAAAAGGAAATGCATTAAATAAAAAAATATATTTTAATATTAATAAAAATGAAAATAAAATAAAAATAAATTTACAAAAAAATCAATCAATCAATCAATAAAAAAAAATAAAAAATAAAAAAAAGGTGGGTGGGGTTGGGAATTTATGGTTGGAGGAGTACATTAGTCTCAATATGAATTATTAGAGGGTCCCATGTTTTGAAAAATGTTTTGGTTGATCCTCTGAGAAAATATTATATTTTTTTGTTTTCAAAAATCGCATTACATCACTAAGCCAAAGTGACAGTTTAGGTGGCATTGGTGATTTCCACTCCATAAGAATTCTTCTTCTAGCTATTAATGTTTCAAAGGCAAAGGCGTTCTTTTTGCAACTTTTTTATGGGTCAAAAACAGATCTGAAAGAGAATCATGTGGTTTAATCATGAAATAATTGTGATGCTTTTTTCATTAAACAAGAAGACTGGAAACAATACAATAACAGAAAGAAAAGTCATCATTCTGCCTGATATAAAAGCTTTTTATTTATTTATTTATTTATTTGTTTAATTAATTAATTTATTTATTTATTCATTTATTTGTTTATTTATTTAATTAATTGATTAATTGATTTATTTATTTGTTTGTTTGTTTGTTTATTTCATGGCAGGACTCATGAGGTTGTGGATGTGCATGAAGAAGATCAGCAGACCATCACTGTACAGGTGGAGGTGAAGAGAGAAACAGAAGAAGACGAGGACGACAGAGAGACAGACGCCTCTCAGACACACACTGATCCAGAGACACAGTACGTCAGACACTGCAATACACACACACACACACACACACACAGTGCAACATCAGCATCTTACTCAGGATTGTTCTGTTTTCACATTCTTAAAGTGACAGTTCAGTGTTCCTTCACTTGTTTTACCAGTTTATATTTCTTTCTCCAGTTGAACACAAGAAGATACTTTGAAGAATGCTGAAAATGTAATCATTAACTTCTATAGTAGAGTTGTCAGCAGGAATGAGTGCACTTACCATTGAAAATTAGTAATTTTATCAATTTCTGAGTGAATAATTTGTGGTCAAATCAAAACAGTTTTATTCAACAGTTGCGTTCATGAAAATAAGAGTTTGGTCACAGAACAACTTTAGGAATAGAAAGATAATACAATTAAATTCAAATACTTTAAAACAAACTATTAATACAAATTTTATATGTTTTTTTAAGCTTCTCTTGATTTTTTTCCTGTATAAATTGCAATATATTTTATATTTCCCCCAACATATTCATTTGGTGGGATGACAAGGTGGCTCAGTGGTTAGCACTGTTGCATCACAGCAAGAAATTGACTGGTTAGAGTCCTGACTGGGTCAGTTGGCATTTCTGTGCCGAGTTTGCATGTTCTCCCCATGTTGGTGTGGGTTTCTTCTGGGTGCTCCAGTTTCCCCCACAATCCAAACACGTGCGCTATAGGGGAACTGGATGAACTAAATTGGTCGTAATGTATGAATGTGTGTTTGTGAATGAGTGTGTATGGGTGTTTCCGAGTAGTGGGTTGCAGCTAGAAGGGCATCCGCTGTGTAAAACATATGCCTGAATAATTGGTGGTTCATTCTACGGTGGCGACCCCTGATGAATAAAGGGACTAAACCGAAGGAAAATTAATAAATGAATATTAATTTGGGTGTACTAATTATTAGACCATAATTTTCTGTTTGTTTGTTTTTTTGTAAGATTAGTTCTAGTTTTGTTTTTGCTACTTACTAATAAAATGTATATGTACAAATATATTATTGTAAAGCATACTGTAGAAAGCATTCATTTAAAAGAGAGGTCTGTGAAGGGTGAACTCATTTATGCTAATGATATTCTTCTAAATATCTTCTTATGTGTTCAGCAGAATAAAGAAACTCGTAAAGGTTTGGAACCACAGGAGGGAGAGTAAATAGTGAGAACGTTTTCATTTTGGGGTGAACTATCATTTTAAATACTCTTAAAGGGTTAGTTCACTAACAAATGAAAGTTCTGTTAATTACTCACACTCTTGTCGTTCCAAATAAACGTCAAGTGTAGTTTCTCTCCTAGTTTCTTTTCCTTTATATAAATGACTGAGATTAATGATTCTTGAGGTCAAAAAATGTACAATTGTGTAAATGTGTTCATGTTCAACAGTAAAATTAATACAGAAGCACAAGCTGTAAAAGCCCCACTCTCTTCCAAAAAAAAGGGGTGTGGTTTGGCAGCTCATTTGCATTTAAAGAAACATAAAGGGTCATTTACAGCACACAATAATAAATCACCCATGAGGGATTTTTGAGTTTTTCTTAAGATTTCCAGAAAATGAACAAATGGTGCATTTGAGATAAAAGCATCTGCCAAATGCATGACTGTAAATGTATAGGGGATATATTTTGGGATTTGTTTAGTCCGGCTGTGCATTATCCTTTATCAGCCGTCTCTCTGACTGCATCCTAATTCGTGTCATGTTTACGCATATTATGTAAGATTAAGATTATTACATCCAAAATCATGCTAAAATAGCACGCACAAAGGACTATGTGCCATTTCTGATGGATTTATGGAATACGTCTGTGTTTTTAGGGGCCAAGCACCGTAGTTGCGTAGGCACCTATTGGATCCGTTAGTGTCCTATTAGGGATGTAACGGTATCAGAATTTCACGGTACGGTAATACCTCGGTATGAATGTCACGGTACGGTATTTATTGAATCATTTACAGGAAAAAACAAAACTTATGAAAATACTCCAAAAAAGTGCCAAAAGTGTCAATGACATACAAATTAGCCATCTATCTGTAAGCTTTGAAACAGGAACTTCAATTTTAATAACAAAAAATATTAAACCATGTAAAAAAATAAAGTTTCAATTTAGTATTGTTGAAAACTCATCACATTCAACATTTAATCACTCACTCACTTAGATAGAGATGGGTTTAAAGGAAAATTATCATATAAATATAATCTGGTAAAAGCTGGTATCTCTGGGCATTTAAAATGTCCCCTGCAACAGAAAAAAACCCTCTCATTTGGGACTGAGGTTTCTGGGACAGAGAGATATGACTTGGCCCAGGTTGACAGCAGTGGGTAACGTTGTGCATTGTCTTTCCCCCACTTGAGAGGACAAACCATGAGTGAGATAGAGATCTCATGTCTGCATCAATCTGAACAGTGTGCTGACAACACCGCTATTCAGTACATTCAGCTATTCAACACAGCTGATAAGAACTCGCGCGACAACAACGCTATTCAGTACGCGCGCGGCGACAACACCCGCTTTAGAGTTTTCCAGCTCTTTTTCATCCCCGCTTCTAGCAGCACACTCCATTTCCGCATTACAGGATCTGTAGCGACATCAGACCGCAAGGGATGATGGTCAAGCCTGGGCTGATGGGAATTGTAGTTTTCGCTACCTCCTGTTCGCTTCATTCGCCTGAGCAAATTTTCTCAGAAGACCTATAGTTTTACAGAGTCATGCGACTTCGGTAATATCGAAAAAAATTAATATTGCGGTATGACGGTATTTACAGTACCATTACATCCCTAGTTCCTATTATTATTATTCTTCTTCCGTTTCTTCTGCCAGATTTGAATGGCAGCCCTTATAGGCGTATGCGGGAAGGTTGTATAATTTGGCGTAATGATAGAGGACAGTCTTATCATTTATCAGACCAAATATGAAGTCTCAAAATCAAACTCTCTAGCGCCACCACTTGTCCAAACTTTCATGTACGTTTATCATGATAACTTTTGAACCGAATGGGCTACAATCAAAATTCTTTTTTCATCTGATTCCTTGGCTTAGTCCAATTCAAACGCACCCTATGACGTCATTTGCCGTCATGAATTGTTTCACGCTATTTTAAATTATTCGAAAAACTTATTTGATCGAACTCGTCCTAGGCCGTTTCTCCCATTTTCACCAAAATTAAATCACTTGATCTACAGACCATGCCAACCAAAAGTTATGGAATTCAAGTTGATTAGACCAACCATTTTCGTTAAACTTGCAATCAAATTTAACAAAGAACTTGCAAAAATGGACTTAAGGCGATATCTCCGTAACGCATTCACCGATTCACCCCAAACCTAATGTGTGTTATGACAACTAGGGTCTGAGGTTATATGCGGAGTTTCGGCGCACTGCCCCCTAGTGTTGCGGAGATACAAAAAACTTGCTTTTTGCTTATAACGTTTCAACCTTTCGTCCGAAACTTAGAAAACTGGTCTCATTACATCCGGCAGAGCATGTCGAGTCGAATGATGTCTGATTTTCACAGGTCAGCCATTTTGGGCGTCGCCCATTTCGATTTTTGGCCAAAAATGCTATAGTTTACCAACATATTCACATATCATTACAAAACATGGTATGCATCTTCAACCCCATGCCCTGAAAGAACTCAAAAACTTCTGGAGCAGCGCCACCTTTTGGCCAAAAGTGCTTGGCCCCTTAATTGCTGCTTGCAGCTATATTTACATTTACATTTAGTCATTTAGCAGACGCTTTTGTCTAAAGTGACTACAATTGAGAAGGAATTAGTCAATTCTGAAAGAAGAGGCAATACACACAATTGATAGTTGATGCTATCACTGGGGGTTTGGGTTGTTCACAGGGGTTCAGGTGTTTGCGGCAGAGACGGGGTTTTTAGTTGTCGTTTGAATGATATTGTTGAATCAGCAGTTTTGGTCTGTTATTACCCAGAAGCCCTTACTGTAAGAGTGTTGTGGTATTCAGGTGTGGATTTGTCCATCTGTGCTGCTGAGCGGCTTTAATGCTGACCATCTGTTCTGAACTCATGCTAAACACTCAAACTCAGCACTTCTGTCACTGCTAATACATCAGGGAAAGACTTGAGGAGTTCTGTTCAGTCTGTCTGTCAGCTTAAACACAGGACTCAGCGATATCAATGTCAGAGTTGTTGTTTTTAGATTTCTTAAGAAAATGTCAAGGATGTGAGTCTGTACACTGCAAAAACATGCAGTCCTCACTTTGTGTTATTGTATTGTTTCTAGTCCATATATAGGGGGGAAATAAGTATTGAACACATTGTCATGTTTTTCCTGGGAATAGTATTTCTGTTAAGGAGCTGTTGACATGGAATTTAAGCAGATATTGGTAAAAACCCAAACAATACAAACATAAAAATAAAACCATACTAAAACATCTGAGAAATGAGTTGATGACACAGGAGAAAGTGCTGAACTACTGAAATGTGTTCAATACTTTATATACTTTAAAGGTTGTTTTGGTGCTGCAGCTTTAAGACGCCTCTCATATGGAGAATGAAGTCGCATGCATTGCTCAGGTGTGAGTGTCAAAATCTTGATGCTTCTGTGGGTCTCGTCTAGAAAATCTGAGCTTTATCTTGTATTTTCTATTGGATTTGCATCAGGTGATTGGCTAGGCCATTCTACAGCTTGATTTTTTTTTTCTCTGAAAGCATCTGAGAGTCTCCTTGGCTGTGTTTTGGATCATTGTCTTGCTGAAATGTCCACTCTGGTTTCATCTTTATCCTCCTGCTGATGTAGATGTTGGACTGAAGCAGCTGATATTCATTTACACTGAGGAAGGGCTGAGGCTTGTTGAAGAACTACTGAGAGATTTCAGCTGCTGTCTGGGCTTTCCATGTCTTTCTTCATGTGTTCAATACTTTTTCCATGCGTCTTTTCATTTTATTACACATAACTTCATTTGTAAACTAACTAGATTGTTTTCTTTGCATATATGGATTTCTTTGGTTGTTATCAACATCTGGGGAACATTTCAAGTGAACAGCACCTTTAGAGATATGTGTTCTGAGAAAAATGGTGACGTGTTCAATATTTGTTTTCCCCGCTGTATATACTGTACAAATATTTAAATCAAGAAGCAGTTTTATAGGAGTAAAAAATATTGTTTGTTCTACTGAAACTGATCTCAGAGCAGTGTTTTGGTTTGTAGGTTAAGGCAGTGATTTCCAAAATGTTATTTTTAGCTAAAATATTTCAAATAATTTTGCTTTACAAAGTGAGGTTGATTAATAGTGAGATGATCTGCAGGTAAATTGCTGAAATATTTAAGTATAACAAACAATGTGATGAATAAAAGTAATTATTTAAAATGATCAATGAAAAATCATTGCACAGCCATATCACCCTGCAGCTCAAGACCTGCTTGAGCCTGCTCAGTACCTGGATGGGAGACCACATGGGAAAACTAGGTTGCTGTTGGAAGTGGTGTTAGTGAGGCCAGCAGGGGGTGCTCAACTTGTCTGTGTGAGTCCTAATGCCCCAGTAAAGTGAAGGGGACACTGCACTGTCAGTGGGCGCCGTCTTTTGGATGAAACATTAAACTCAGCTCCTGACTCTCTGTGGTCATTAAAAATCCCATGGCACCTCTTGTAAAGAGTAGGCAGGGGCGCAACTGCACATTTACTGATGGGTATGCGACTTCAACTTTTGCGTGCCCTTTCAATCCAACTATATTTTATAACAGACAAGTGATAAAATGTGGAAAATATTTCCATCAATAAATTAAAGATATTTTTTCATAAAGATATCAACATGCTCCAAAAAATACAGTTTCGCAGTTCTGAACACAACTGAAATAGTATAAAGTAGTAAAAGGTATAATTACATTAAGCATGTTAAGTCGCAAAGAAATGCATCTCATACCACCCCAAATTTCTTCTCAATTTAATTTTCCCTCACTAAATGATTATAGCACCTTGACTAGCCTTGCTTTTGGACTTTTTGTAGTACATTTGTAAAAAAAAAAAATGATAGACATGGGAGTCCTAAAGGGCAAAAAAACATTGCAATTATTTCTTACATGCATACTGTGAGAGTGTAAGGTCTGTCTTTGCAAGAACAATTGACTAAAAGTGCTAAAAGTGAAATAAAATAGTCTGTCAAATGTTATACGCGTATAAAATGCTAAATAAACATTTTTAACAAAAATATATATATATTATTTGAAACTTTTAATATGGATAATTTCAAAAATAGTTTTGGCAGAATGGCGCCCCCCAGGTGTGGCACCCCTATGCGCCGCATATACTGCATACCCCCTTTTTGCGCCACTGAGAGTAGGGGTGTAACCCCGATGTCCTGGCTGGATTTCCACCATCGGCCCTTACACATCCTGGCCTTCTAATCATCCCCATCCACTGAATTGGCTCTATCACTGTCTCTCCACTCCACCAATAGCTGGTGTGTGGTGAGCGCACTGGCACCGTTGTCCTGTGGCTGCCGTCACATCATCCAAGTGGATGCTGCACACTGGTGGTGGTGTGGAGAGACCCCCCCCTCATGATTGTAAAGCGCTTTGGGTGTATGGCAATACACAAAAAATGCACTATATAAATACACATTTCATTACAAATAACTAATATACTACTTAAATATTGCATTTGTCATCGTATTATTATTATATCAAATATTATTTAAAAAAGAATGAAGTAATTATTATTTGTTATTAATGTAATTGTTATATTGATTATATATATAGACAAATATTTCATTTTTACAAACATAAATTACATTTGAAGAGTTCAGATGCAAAAACCTCCAAGTGCCATCTGAAATAGTCTTCTAAAATGAACATTGTTTTCTCAGACTCCTCTGTGCAGGTTTAGTCATTCACTGTTATGGTATAGAATAGGTTATTTTTATTGTCTTTAATGTAAAATAACTGAAAATAAGCATAGGAGACTAAGAAAAATGCTCATTTTAAATGAAATTTCTTCTGGCACTGGTTTTTGTATCTGAACTCTTCATTTATCCCTCATTAAATAAATGCATTTTTATATACAGTTGAAGTCAGAATTATTAGCCCCCCTTTAATTTTTTTTTTATTTTTGAAATATTTTCCAAATGATGTTGAACAGAGCAAAGAAATTTTCACAGAACGTCTGATAATATTTATTTCTTCTGGAGAAAGTCTTATTTGTTTTATTTCGGCTAGAATAAAAGCAGTTATTAATTTTTTTTTAAACATTTTAAGGACAAAATTATTAGAATTATTAGTAAATTATTATTTACTGTCATCATTGCAATGATAAAATAAATGAATTACTCATTAGCAATGAGTTATTAAAACTATTATGTTCAGAAATGTGTTTAAAAAAATCTGCTCTCCGTTAAACAGAAATTGAGGGAAAAAATAAACTGGGGGGGAATTACTCAGGGGGGCTAATCATTCTGACTTCAACTGTATGTATTATTATATTTATATAAGATGCAATTATTTTTATACATTTTTTGCAAATAAATACAATGTTTTACCTTTTATTATAATTAATATTAAACTATATTTTAATATTTATATTTATCTCTTGAATAACGTTTATTTTAGTACAATAAAAATAAGAAATTAATTTACATTTCTCAATTACTATGAATAGATTGCCATCACAGTGCTTTTTTATTCTTTCTTTAATTAACATTTTAGATTAAGAGCCATTTACAGTAGAACCTAAAATCCACCATATACAAAAGAAGAAGAATAATAATTCAAGAATAAAACATCAGGGCTTAATTTGTGTCGTAACACGCCGGATCCGGCACCCCTGAAATCTGATCTGGCACCTCATTTTACTGATCCTCCTCCTCAACCGCCCTCCTCCCCCTTCCGCTGTTCACTTTCACTTTCTTCCGTGACTCCCCAACCCTCTTCACTTTTGTCAGCGACACCCCTGCCCCGCCCACTTTCATCAGCGACACCCCTCTGCCATCCACCACACCAACCACCAACCCGTCCCCCGCTCTCCACTTTCGTGTGCGGTACCTCTCCATCCTCGGGCAACATGCCGGATCTGTTACCCCGATCTGTTCCGGGACCTCTCAATTTACAAATTAAGAACTGCACAACATTGTATGCATTGTTCAGCAAAATCATTTTTGCCCATTATTTCTTGTCTTTTTTTTTTAGCATTGCTGCAGAGACGGAGATGGTTCCTCCTCCTCCTGCAGATTCAGACCCTGCTGATGATCTGGAGACTCAAACAGCATCTTCAGCTCCAGATGATCAGGAAAATCCTCCTCCAGCAGACTCCGAGCAGCAGACGGCGGCAGATCCTCCAGAAGCAGAAAGCAGAAGCGCTGAATCAGCAGAAGCAAACCCTCAAACGCAGCTTCCCCCAGCGGATCCGCTGTCCCAGAGCCAGAGCCGAGAGTCTCTGGAGGAAGAGCTCGCCGCAAACACTGACATCTACTTCGTAAGTAGAATCATGACTGGAGGATGTTACTTTGACTTTAGCTGTGTTTCCATTAGGGTTGTAACAATATACCGGTATGACGGTTTACCACGATTTGAACGTGCACGATTATCATACCATGAACAATTGCATATCAACGGTTTTAACCCTTAAAGACCGAGACAGCCGCCCGCGGCTAAAAATAAGTATTGCTCTTAAATGTTTAATAACTTTTGATCCGCTGATCCGATTCATACAATTCCAAGATTGGCATAAAGAAGAGAATCTCAGCTTTCCAGTGCGTAACATTCGCGGACTTACAGAGGCTCCGGAATCAGTGCGGTTACGTCATCAAAATTTGACAACGCTGATTTGACAAAGAAACGCTCGTCACTGTGTCTCCGGACAAACCAGACATGATACATTGATGCATTGTCCCTCCTCCATGCCCAGATTGGTTCAAACTCGCTATATCACAACCAATAAGCATAGGTTTCACTTTTGTTTGTGGACCAACAATGAGCTTTTTGAACAACACGGAATGAGAGATAGGCATACATTTATACGCGGCTAAATAAAACGCAAAAAAAAAAAAGTTATGCATGAAATAATTCTCATACTAAGTACTTTTGCATGCACAGCAGCACAGAAACATGACAAAACAGTGACACAGCAAAGACCAACTGCTGCTCTTGCTGTTTTCAAAAGACGCAAATGAAGGTGCAGCTGTTTGTCTGCATTGAAAACAACCATATCCAAATCCATATCCACAGACAACCATATCCATGCTGGCACATAAAACCTAAGGATGTTCCATATTGAATCTAGTTTCGTTATGTAACTATTTATAGTATAGTAAATATTTATATCTATTTTTACTGAGGATTTGCACCATGTTTGTTTGGACTTTGACACATTATTTATTATTTTCTTATTTTTTTATTTGTTCATTGTAAGTGGTGTTGTTTATAGTAACTAAAAATATATTATTTGGAAAAAGTCAAATTTGCTTCACTGTTCTATTATTTTGTAACATTTGTAACATACCGTATACCGCGAAACCGTCAAACCGCGGTATTTTTTTAGACGATTATCATACCGTAAAAAATTCATACCGTTACAACCCTAGTTTCCATCCAATGATGCAAACACAACTTATGTGTAAATCTGGAATATTGCATAAAACATCTGTGTATACAGCTGCGTTTTTATCCAATGAGAAACAGAAGAGAACTAAATCATCACTTCTTGCTAAAATGGAGCTAATATGAGTCAGAGAAATGTAGTTTTAAGAGTTCACTCTTAGCTGATGAATGATTATAAAGCTTGTTTAGCATGCTGTACCGGGAGAGAGCCCTGAGCTCATAAGATCCTCAAGCCCGGGGCTCCCTCCCATTTGCAGAGCGAGAGGGGAGTTTGAGCTCAGGTAGATCTGGAGAACTCCCCTGCTGTAGTAGCTGATGAACAGATAGTGAGTGCTCTTAAGAGATGACTACTTACTAGGAGCACGTCCATGGGGCTGATTTAGATTAGTCAATTGACTTAAGTTACATGTTTTTTGACGGTGGGAAGAAATTGGGGAACCCCGGGGAAAACCCACGTGAGCACGGGGAGAACGTGTAAACTCCATACAGAAACAACAGCTGGCTTGGTAAGGACTAGAATCAGTGACATTCATTTTTTTTTTTATTATTATTTTTTTTTTATTGGAAGAATATGTACAATTACAGAATGTTTGCAAATATATAAAAAAAGATCCTCCACATTTTACTTATGCAAAAAATTAAATAAAAGAAATGAAAATAAATTAAAACAAAATATTTCCTTCTATACTTATTAGGTACAAGTGATTATATTACAACTACATGTCTATATGTATATATACATACACATACACATATATACACACACGCATACACACGTACATACAATTTTTCCCTTGGTCTACTAACACAATTTACAGAGTCTACATATGAATATGTAAACCATTATCTGAATTGACAGAGAAAAGAAAAAAAAAACTTAGTTATCATTACAGAAGGAAAAGAAGAACAAAATATATACAAACTCAAACAAAATAGATCACAGTATGCAACGAAAATAATACCCTATAATACCCCCTCACCCGTCAGTTTCCGTCTGTAGTGCACACCCGTAAGAAAGATTACTGAAAATGGGAGCTGCCATATGATTTTAACAATATCCGCATCAAACAACTGTTCCATTTCTCCCTTCCAAGTATCTTATGAAAGTTTCCCATATTTTACAAAATTTAGGCTTTTTATTCTGTAAATGGTACCGTATTCTTTCTAAATGGAGTGGAGTGTGTTTGACCAGTGACGTTCTTGCTGTGAGGCAACAGTGCTAAGCACTGGGCCACCGTGCCACCCATCTAGGAAAGCAGGAGGAGTAGGGGTGGAAGGGGGGATTCTAGAAAACAAAGATGGCTGTGATATGGAACTGAGGGTATGTATAGTGACTTAGGAATCGTCTGATTGGTGAATCATAAATTGAATAACGTGAGGCCGGCTGCAAGCAATCATAATCACGCGATCCTCTCCAAATTAGCTTATAAATAAACTTCGCTTAGTGCGTTTGTAGAAGCCACTGTGGAGTTTTTCTTCTCTAATAAATGAGTTGCGCCTCAGAAGACGAAACACAATGAACTCAATGTGGTGGCTTTTGGAGGCGAGAGAGGCTCTTTGGGAGTGCAGACTAGGGGTTTACAACTTTAAATTTTTGCTAGTCGACTTTCATGTTATCAAAGTACAGTCAACGTCGACTAGTCGCTGGTGATGTCATCAGCAAAACATAAGATGAAAATGTTTTGCAGCATGCCACAATT